CATAATGACTGAATTTGGGTTAAAAATGTAATGTAAGTCGCTTTGGATAAAAGCGTCAGCTAAATGATCTGTAACGTAATGAATTTAAAGTCACTTTTTGTTGTTTGTTCATTTGCTCTCTACACCGCGAGCAAAACAAAAAGGTGAAAGCAGTCGAACGGGATTAGCAGCTTTGCTGAGATGTTTTTTCTGGCTGTAATGACTTTTGCTCCCAGTTCAACCCACCCCCGCCTCCCACCCAAAAAGTCATGCTCCTCAGGCTTTTGCCTCGGCCTCCCCTCTCCTCATCCCATGCCCCACACCTGTTGAGAACAAGCACAAGTATATTTAACAAATGTAGCGTGGATGTATCCAGTGGTGAGCTCTGAAGGAAACATTTTTTAAAGGGAGAGCATAATTTTATTTTATTTTTTCGGGGGGGGGGGGGGGGGCGCTTTTTTAAATGAGGGACGTGGCCCAAAGGGAGAATAAACTATGTCAATGAACAGATTGCTTGGATGTTTCATTGCAAGGGCTGTCCTCTAGGTCCAGCTGGGCAACTTTTCCCCTGAACACGCCTCCAGATCAACAGGCCAATCCTCACGCGCCTAACACCCCCTCCTCCTCTTCTTCTTCCTCTTCCTCTTCTTCCTCCTCCTCCTCCTCCTCCTCCTCCCTCCCTTCTCTGTGATGCAGGCCAGCAGCTCCTTCTTCAGGGAAGCATGCGCACGTTCGCCACGCTTCTCAATCACACACATACACCCACCCACCCACAAAGACGCACGCGCGGTGCAGCGAGTGGAGTAAAACACGCGGAAACACGCATCAGGACATTCAGGCAAACAAGAGGAGTGACGAGGTTAACTGTTGACGTGCACAAACACGAGGTCAGTCTCTGGCTGACATGCATCCTTTGTGTGAAGAAACAGCAGCAACCACACGATGCTATGGGGGGGGGGTGCGCTCACGTGGACCCCGGGATCCCCGTGTGATGGGGTGGCGTCGCTTAGCCTGGAGGGTGGGGTTGCGGGGGACTGAACACAAGCAATGCAACAAAAGTTGTTGTTTTATTTTACTTCAAAGCAGAAAGCCAGTGGAGCCGCGCCGTGTTGAATCAAGCTGCACGCGTTGCTCCGTGTCAGCGTGACGTGACGCGCGTCTATGACATCAGGTTGGACAAGTTTCCTGCAGCAGGGAGCAAAGCGAAGGACGATTCCTCGAGCGGCGCACCAGGTCTCATCTCACAGGAAAAGTACCGTCGCTATGAAGTCACGTAGTCATTTATTGCCTAAACAAATGCTGGACGTACATCTGCAGTAAACCTCAACTAAGATTGCATTTTAAAGACAGATTTGTATTTATTAATGGTTCTCAAAGACTCTTGGGCTTGTCACTTAGCCCAACGACAGTAAACAGTGTTTCCGAACCTAAAACACGTATTTTGAATCCATTAGATGGGGGGAAAAAAGCAAAAAAAAATCACGTACTCACCTCCGTATTACTCCCAGCAACAAGCACGACATTGTCGGTTTTCGGTGTGAAAACAAAACTAACTTGTAAAAAAAATTAAAGTGTAAAAAGGCACATTTGCGTGGTCTGTGGAGGAGGAACGAGCTGTGCTGGTTAGTGCGCGTCGCAGCTCACGTCCGCGCTCCGATGGGACCTTGCACTTTGTTCAACGTGGACCTCAAACTGCACGCAGTTTCCACGAGCGTCCCTGAACGCCTCACCGCGCTTCTACCGTGAACGAGGACGCCGGTGTTCACTCCGCGACCTCTGCTCTGCTTTGCTTCTTCTTCTTCATCGGGGGGGGGGGGTTGTGTCTATGACGTAGTTCTGCCTCCTCCAAACTACGGACCCATCTGACCGGTCGCCCCTCCCGGATGTCACACACACACACGTAACACACGTAACACGCGTACATCCCGGAAACCCGCGACCGAGTCGACATGACAGCAAACGCGTTTTTTTTAATAGAGCGTCAGACGTTTACACTTATTTGTAGCGGTTAACAGTTAACGTTGTTGTGGGTTTGTCGTGTGGTTTATTTTGTGTGTGGTGTAGACTTCACACGGGTTGTGTGTCTCTAAACGAGGTTTGGTTGTGCCCCCCCTCACTCATGATGCTGTGTGTTTGCACACAGGCCTCTAAGTGGTGTGTGGATTGACAAAGCGTCTCATAGTAAACCACGTTGACCAGGACCATGTAACGATGATGTTTGCATTCATTTCTCCATTATCTATTCATTTGCTGATTAGGTTTTTCATTCATTCATCCATTGCTGAAAAATGTCCCTCACAATATCCCCGACTTTGAACAACGGAACCCTGGTTATGTGCAGTTTATTTGATCAACTGAGACAAAAGAGAGGCGCGAATCCTTCCATTTCAAAAGCTGGAAGCAAAGTGACATATTATAGAATAAAGTAGTTTGAAAGTAAAATAAAAGAGACAATCTTTCCTTCCTTCACGGCACAACACATTTAGGACTATAGCTCACGCTGCAGAGAAGCCCACTGAGGTTTAGTTCATCCTAATCATCGCTTTGACAACATTGTCTGGGTGAAACAGCTCTGACCTCCGGACATGAGCCCACGGGAACATTACTTAGTACGCTCACAGTTCGGGGCATCCAGTGTTCTAAAAGTCAGTTTCCTGTCAGTCTTTCTCTCGCTGGACTTTGGTGGGAAGGCTGAACTCCACCAGCTGGTGGCATAGCGGAGTTAAAGGGTGGGGGCTGGACGGAGGAATATACTGTAGAAAACAAGATAGAAACAAGATAAAGAGAGAAACTTTGGCCCTCGTGTTCTCTGATAGGGGCCTGCAGAGTCAGCAGACATCCATAGAGACACACAGACACACACTCATTCACAGTGAATGAATGGCTTCGTGCTAAACAGCCTCAGCGGCGTTCAATGGTTATGAAAGGCAGCATTCAAAAATGCAGCAACCGGCAAAAACTACAAGAAGCCATAAAGAGCTGTGACGCGCTTCAATCATTCACCCGTGTGGCATTAATGAGCCGCTGGTGTGATTTTAGGGGGACTTCAGCCTTTAGAAATCACGGTTGTCTGTGAAAAGTCAGTCCTGCTGATCACACTTCCAAAGCTATTTGAGTTTAAGTCTGATTCCATGAGGGCGTTTCACCCTGTATTCAAAGGTCAGAATTACACAGAGCCATCAAAGTGACAAAAGAAATCACTAAAAGAAAGAAGGTCCTGCAATGTGATGAAATGAAAACAATATAATATAAATTTGTGAACATGTCAGTGCTGTAGTACTTTGTCTCAAGGTTAAATCCCCTAAAAAAAAAAATTTACAAGCAAACAGTGATATTATCAACTCCATTATCAATTTCCCAGTTAATGATCTACTGATAAATCAACCAACTGGATAATAACTTAAATAACTACATAATGAGCATTCCACACATTTACTGACTTGCCATTAGAAATTGAATCTACCAAAGCTTTATGCCTTGAGACCACTATTCATATCAAATGCCAACTCTGTCTTTGTGCCCTTGAATTAGGGTTCAGTCCCCTAATTTTTTGCTAGAATTTTTTTCTGTTCAGCTGTTTCCAAAGGTCGTATTTGTTTTATTTGCGGTTCAGAGGGATGTGCAATGCAAGCTGTTGCTGCAAGGTCTTCATTAACGAGGAATATCAAGGACGTTTTCTTGCTGTCTTTCAGAAAGAAGAAATAAACTGGTGCTCAGAAACTTTACAATAAATAGTGTATTTATTTAGCAGCCTGATTTGAATAAAGCAGGTTGCAAAAGATTTAAACTCTATTAAAATAATACATGCACATGCAATAATACATGCACAAGACATTATAATATACAATATGTACAATATTCTGTTAAGAAATTGTACATTGAGATAATTTACATTAAAGGGGGGCTGATCTCCGCACAAGAGATTATTTACTGACTTGATCACAAATTCTAAAGTTCTCCCGTCTCTCCCACTTTTATTCGTATACACGACCTTTGTTCACGGTATTTCTCAACTGCCTCGCTGAACGGAACACACTGCGCTGAGTTTAATCACTTACTCTTTCAAATCAAGGAATCAATGACTAATGGTACTGGCACTGTAAACAAGTTCACCCTTTACCCTTCGGATCCAAGTTCTGCACGCCTGATGAGTGATGTATTATTTTTCTGTCTCACTAGATGTTCAGAAAGAAATAAAAAAGGATTGTGATTCAATCTGAGTGGACGTCTATTCCTCTCCTGACATGAGAGGTTTGAATATAACACAGTGTGTTGGCATGACTTTGGTACTGTTTGTGTTGACGATGGGAGGCGCTGACATCCTTACTGCCCACTCTGGATCCTGTATTTGTTTTAGTCTCCGACCTGACTGGGTTGTCCTCCGTCCACAGAGCTCATGAGGAAAGAGAACACATGAACAACCGCAGAGCCCTGGAACGCTGGTCCGGTTTACGCTGATCAATGAAAATAAATGATAAAGCGGTGCACTCCTGCTACTGGTGTTGTCTGACTGCAAAGACCGTGGATATTTTTCTTATATTGACATAGGGTATATTACTGAATTACAGCATCCCAGTTTAAAGATTTTTGATTTACTCTGATGCTGTTATCCATCGTTGGTTCTACTCTTATTCACCCCATTTAGAACAGTAGCATCACCCAGTGGACACAGTCAGAACAGAACAAATAAAAAGCTCACACAATTATTAATAAAAAACATTGCGATATGGAGCGTTGCAAGAAGTGATATCTAATGGGAAAGGGTTTATTTGACGACAGAAAGCAGATGCTTGTGGACAAGTAAAGACGCGTTAGCGTGCATTGATTATTCATCAAACATTTTTCCATTAATGTTATTGCACTTGCTGCAATGTATTTCATTCAACAGCTTTTTTATGTTAACTTTAATTATAATTTTTTTTAAAAGCATTTTCATTTCGCCTTTTCACCACTACTCCAATGACAAACCCTCCTTAAACAACTCCAAGTCCCACAATGCAACAGCATCTTTGTCTGTCAGGGGAAAGTACGGAACTGTCCAAACGTACTTTCATTTTCGCTTTTTCCTGCTGAGTAACAGTGAGCGTTACGCGCGGCGTCGAGTTACACAACTAAAGAGCGTTTAGTTCTTCTCCGCGGTGTAACTAAAGTGTAAACTTCCACAAACTTAATCCCGTAACCAACGGAGACCAAACATGGCGTCTCTGGATATTCGTCTGGACTCGAAGAAACAGGTGAGCGCGGATGTGTGCTCGCGTGACCCAACGTAACGTTAGAGCCTTGTTGTTGTTGTTTACAACGTCACCGACCTTTCAAACCCACGTTCCCCGGTGAGCGTGGCGTGTGCGTGAGACCCGGGAGACGATGTTTGTTGTGGTGACCCCTGCCGTCCGTCCGGCAGGGGTCACTCGACGTGAGGTCAGGTACCAGGCGGTCACCAAGGGCCTGCGCGGCCTGCAAGCCGCGTGAAACAGCTGCTTATCTGTGAAACAGCTGTTTTTAATAAATAAAAGTACCCTCCGCCACTGTGACAAAAGCTCACAGGAAAACCGGTTCACGACTCAATCACGTGATCTCTTCTTTGCAGGTGGATGACTTCTGCCAAAAACTTACCAAGGAGGTAATTACCCAACACTCACACATCCCATCAATGTATCTTTATGTCATGACTACGTAAAATTACCGCTAACACATTTACTACTACGTAAATATATTATTTTACACAACAGGCGGAAGACTTGGTATCCAAATTTTTCCCTCTGAAGATTGAGGAGCTGCAGGTGCTGTTGAAGGTATTGATGGACATGTGACATTGAGCCCTGCTGCAGAGAATACCTGCACAATTCCCTGTAATTGTTTGAGAGTAAGTCTTCAGAAGCATCAGGACATTTCTGCTTTCTGTCAAGACATCTTTCAGCTGCGACAACCTGGCGTCCCTGAAGGCTCCGCTGGACATCCCGATACCGGACCCGGCTAAAGAGGAGGCCAAGCGCAAGAAGAAAGAGGAGGTACGTCCCTGGCGCGGGAAAAAATCCCACTTAAATGAAGGGATCATGCTGGAGGGAAGTAGTCCAAAGACATTTGAGTGTTTAACAAATGTCTGTTTGGGTACAGTAGTTGAATTATGCCGTTAACTGCAAAAAAAACAAAAAAACCTGTAAGCTCCAGAGGGTTTCAGAGGTTGTAAAGACAGTAAACACCAGAGCTACATTATATAAATGGCATTGGCGTCACAATAAGGAGCCTTAGGTAAGTATTTTCTATTCTTTAACATTGAATTTCTGAAGCGGCGCAGCATAAAGCCTCTACTGTGATTCTCTCTCAAAGGTTTATATTAAGTGCTTCATATAATATGAATGCATTACATTAAAAGTGAGTCATCTGTTGCCACGGATACCAACTGCTGTGTAATTTCCAAGGACTACTCTGCAAATTGGCAGTGGGTGGGCCCTCTTATGTCGGACGAGTGAAGAAAAATCTCAATTTAACCTGGAATTTTTGCATTTTTATTTGGCTTTAAATCCTATTCAGATTATCCTCCCTTTTTTTGTATCGGTCCATTACTTAAAATAATACCCATTTAAGGGAAGTAACCTGCGGGTGCTCTGCGCAATGTAAAAAACCATCGTGGACTTAAAGAATAAAGCAGAAAAGCCACTCAAGCATAAGACATTTATTTGGGACCCTTTACAGAATCCCAAATATATCCTCATCTCCCTTTCATTCATCAGCTGTCAAGTCGCACACATTCATTCAAGAAAGTGCAACGCTGCCAACGTCAACAGTTTTTAAGTGGAGCAAAAGGAAAAAAGGGGGTTGGAAAGAATATGTGCGATCACACAGCAGCTCAGGGGAACACACACGAGGCAGGCGGAGCGCGTTCAGAAGCGGCTCGCGAGGAGCACGGAACCGCTGAAACTGGGTTACATTTGTTATACAAAGACAAGAATTCCAGGATTTGACAAATTCCTTTAGCCAAAGGAGAAAAAAAAAGCACTGGGGAGAGCTGTCTGAGAGATTAATAGGCAGCAAAAACGATCTGACCCGCTGCCTTCTGTTCTGATGTTGCAGAAGGAGGCGAAGGAGGGGAAGAAGGACAAGGACGAGGATAAAGAGGACGAAGATTCAGGTAGCGGCGATGACGACGAGCTATTAACAAACACTGCAGTGGTCTCTGCGAAGAACATTTCTGTCATCGCTCCTCTTCAATTGCAGTTTACCGACTTGACTACAATGTTATGGTGAGAGATTTGCTCATGTTTTTACTTTTTGTCCACCAGGGCCTCCTTGTGGTCCCATCTGCACCAACCAGCGAGTGGAGCATCTCCTGCAGTTGGTGAAGCCTCAGATCCAGACACTGAAGGAGAAGCTCAACGTGGTCAGTCCGTTAGCTTCCGCTCGCACAAAGAATTCAGCCTAAATGTGGTTTCTACCTTCACTCGTCGGGTGCTTACGAGTAGGATTCAAACAGGGGCGTCTTGGAGCTTTAAAACACTATTAAAAACATGCATGTTAATACATTTAAATTCCCTCGGCAGGTGTCGATGTGGGTGCAACTCCAAATCCCTAAAATTGAAGACGGCAACAACTTTGGAGTGGCTGTCCAGGTTGGTTAAAAATATAAATTTTACATTTTTTAATAAAGCAGTACAATGACTCTCTTGAACATGTGTTGTTTGTGTCCTTTTGTCCAACAGGAGAAGGTGTTCGAGCTGCTGACCAACACACGCACAAGGATCGAGGGGTTCCAAACTCAGATTTCAAAGTAAGAGCCCACAATCAACTTGTGATGGATTCGTTTTATTTGAAAGGTAAACCAAACATGCCGTCCCACGATGCATTTCCTCTGACATCAGCGTGTGGTTGGCTAGCTGGCTGTCGCTCTGTTCAGGTTGCATTTGGGAAAATTAATGGCAGTAATGGATGTAAATTTGCTGAGACGAACAAACCTTAGCATGAGACCCTCGACACATACGGCTCTGAAAAGAGATACAAGCTGTCATAATAAATGAAAAATAAAATAAACATTTTTTTCTTTTTATAAGATCTAGGTTAGTTTTCAGGCTTTTCAAAATGTCATATTCCGACCATCAGAGGAGGTCTGTGCAGTGAGTTTATGCATCGGCGCGATACGCAAGAACCGCTTATTTTTCAAGAAAAGGAATAACAGTCTTCCGCTCACAAATTAAAAGTTAAATAAGTTAATGATAAAGCTCACTGTGTTCATTCACTACACCCGCTTATAGTTGCTAATGTTGGTTCATGTGAGGAAAGAGACAAATATTACAGACATTACAGGGTTAATTTACTGACTCTGATATTCCAACAACTTTGCTTTTTAGCAAGTTGCCAAACTACTTTTAAGAATTAGGCACTCAAATTGGCTTAAAGCAAAACTGGACACTCATTGCATCGTGTTGTGACTCTTCCTCCCCCAGATATTACAATGAGAGAGGCGATGCTGTGGCCAAAGCCTCCAAACAGTCCCACGTGGTCAGTATCTCAGTTCACTTTCCACTGACTGCTCACTGTATGCTCTATTTGTGTGTAAAACAAAGAGTTTTGATGACAGTGTTCTGCATAAATTGGGTAGAATTTGGGCTGCATATAAACTGTGTGCTGTGTGCTTCCTGCTGCAGGGAGACTACAGACAGCTGGTCCATGAGCTGGACCAGTACCAGTACTGTGAGCTCCGCCTTGTGATCTTGGAAATCTGCAGCACATATGTAAGACGCCCTCCACCCTCTTGTTTTTGCACGCCTTTTTATGTGGACGTACCAAATGCTTTAAATCCGATTGTATGAAAACTGTCGCCACGCGGCGGATCACGACAAAGTGAGTCCACTGCAGTCTGCGTTCATGTCACCTGGATTCTGTAAATCACACGTATCAGGCGTAATTTACCATCTGTGGCCATCATGCACTGTGCTTTGAACACAACCGTGCACACATTTCTAAAAAGATTTCCCGGCAGCAGGGATGATGCCCTAAATGGAATCCATTTCTTCTTAATAGAGGGTAATTAAACTAATTGCCGTGCTTGTGTTGAATTGATTAGCTCTCCATCTCCTACCCATTAATCCCTGTTGTCTTCTTTCTCTGGCTATTGTCCTCCTTTGTTTGATGCTGTCAGTGAACAAGGCAGTGCGGGTGATGATGAGAGGAGCATCCATCTCTCTCTCTCTCTCTTATTTCTGCCTCTGACCTTTATGTCTCTCCTCTCTTCCTCAAAGCTTTAGTTCTACATTTCCACTGATGGTCTCCCTCTCTCTCCGCAGGCGGTGCTCTTTGACATCATTAACAAGAACTACGACAAGATCAAGAAGCCCAAAGGAGACGGCAAGGCTCTGATCTACTGAGACTCCGGATGCTCTCGGGCTTACAAGATGCAACTTTTGTAGTATGACACTCAAGTAACTAAACAGCCGCTCTGCCACGCGTGCTTTCATGCTGGTTCAAATTACACAATAAAGCAATACAATTCCAAAACCTTCTGTTTTTTTCTGTCCAATCGAAAATCGTTTTTTAGACCATATCCGTCCATATGATGCAAGTTCCCCTCCGGCCTGACTGCACAACTTGAGTCTGAGCTTTTAAGATCACAACCACCCTCCCTGAAACGTGAACTACTGAAGGTTTCACACTACTGAGGCTCCTCCGTAGTAAACCGTCCCTCCGCCGGCAAACCAGGGCTGGCTTTGAGTCGGAACCACCCTTGATAGAGTCCTCTCCACACCAGGTATCCCAGAGCTCCTCCCAGATGCTGGGAGGGGAACTTGGGGAAGTACGCGAGCAGGCACACCAGCAGTAACATCCAAACGGCGAGCAGAAGCACACACAGGAGGAAGATGAACCGCAGAGGCGCACCGGGCGACCTCTGCAGAGCCTTGGCTTGAGCGAGGTGAAGACCAAAGACGGACATCTCCTCCACAAGCAGCAGGCAACACAAGCTGACCACCAGGACGTCCTGGGATACTTCGTGACCTCTCCACACCATGTTGGCGCTGAGGCACGAGGCTCTGGTCTGCTCTTCGTGCAGGAGCAGCAGGGGCTGGACGGAGGAGGCGGGGCCTTGAATATCCTGGCTGGGGGTCACGGGTTCGTAGCAGGTTCCCGACGCGTCCTCCAGCAAGGTCAGGAGGCGCCGACAGCACCACCACAGCAACCCGACCACCCCCATCCGAGAGAGGTGGCGCAGGAGGAGAGACGGGGGGTGGCGGGCTGAGATGGAGAGGAGAAGGATGAAGGAACCCGAGAAGACGCAGGTCCAACCCCAAGTGGACTTCAAGAACTTCCTGCAAGACAGCAAAGACCAGTGTAGCGTGAAAGGTCACTGTATGAATCCTTGGAAAACATGTGACATCAAACCCGCCGGGACCAGGTGGGCGGAGCTGTCTAACAGGCAAAACCCTGAGCGCAAAATGCCATTTCTAACTCATTTGCAAAATATTCTTTCAAATGTTATAGGCTCAATCTTGCATTGATAATTAACATTGAAACGAGCCATCACTTGTGCTCTTACTGTGTGTTATTTCTTCTGATTGTTTGCATTACAAGTACATTTATTTGACTTTCTTGGGATAAATACACTTATTTTTTAAATAGTCGACAGTTTATAGACTAATTTTGTAATGTGGTAAAGCAGAGACCATATTAATGACTATACCTCCCACCCTATATTGGGTGGGAAAGTGCAATTTTCAATTTTAACTTTTTAAATCTAACTTCAATGCAGGCAGGTTTCAAAGCTGTATGCAACCACTTTATTCATTTCTAACAGCACAGTAGTTGTAAACGTGACATTTTGCTTTTTAAAAGTACCAACACAACCGCGCTGTACCTGTACAGGAAGTGGTTGCCGTTGGAGAAGATGCTGTACTTTGACACCCAGAAGTTGAGCAGAGGACCGAACAGAACCAGAGCGGACAGCATCAGGTGGAAATGTCGTCTCATCGAGCTGCTTCCTAAAATCCCCGCCAGCGAGTTTGTAACGAACACCAGCGCGGCGTCTAGGAGCCTGAGGAGGAATTTCCCCAACAGAATCACCTGTGCAGCCATCTTGCGTAACTTCCCCAAGGTGATCTCTGGTGAGAAGCCATTGGAGGAGTTCTCAGTCGGGGCACCCATGTCGATCTGCTCCTCGATGGCACCTCTTCCAGTTTTAGAACATAAAGGATAGAAATCTAATGGTCTTTTCCTCTTTATTTTCTCCAATCCTTCAGTCTTTTGTCTTCAAAGGCCCTCCAGCTCTGCTGCCGGAGCCTTTCTGCTTTATCACTGTCAGGCGTGCAGAGGAACACATGGTTTGTACAGATACACTCTCTCTCTCTCCCCCTCGGACGCCCTCCCCCAGCTCAGACACAGACCGGGTGACAGCTGCTGCTGTAGCTGACCCCATTATTCTGAAAACCCTGATCTAATGCTGGGTGAATTTGATCCATGTGGCTGGCAACTGATGCGAATACTTCAAAGGTAAAACACAAAACGCGCGTGATTGGTTATAGACAGCGACTTTATAATCAGACTTTCAGGCGTCTTATAATTACATTTTCAGATAAAAAAAGATCAGCGTGTTTTCCTGCGTGAAGAATCCTTCTGACATAAAGCGGATGGTTTGGCTCCGCCTCTGGTTCTGCTCGAGTCTCGAGTCCATTCTTGGAATCAGCTGCTGGAGCCAAAACTAATTTAAGTTCTAAACTGCTGCCAGTTTGGCGCCATGAACAGCTGCATTTCGCAAAGCACTTTCAGTCTCCTTAATTTTCAGGCCCAGTCCTCGAGCCAGAGCCTCTTAAACCTCTTCAACCCGCGCAGCCAAAATGAGTGAATTTATTCTTTCTGTGGGATTCATGCGCAATAAAAAGCCACTGGAACGGTTTCCACAAGAACATTTAGTCCCACTACTTCTCATGGACGGCACATCCACACCAAGAGAAGTGCTGCTGGAGTCCGTGTGTTTCTAAAAGAAAGAGCAGGATTGCATGTAAGTGGAGGATCTATGAAATCTTCTGTTTTTCGCTGAGTCAAATGCAGAATTCAGTTTATTTTCCTGAGTTTGTGTTCCCTTCTTTCTAATAATTTATCCAAATAGCTTTTTCTTTCAGTGAAACTGGAGCTGAGATGTTGTGTTATTAGACGACCCTGGTTGGTGTATTAAGGAGGAACAGTAAGTGTAAATGAAACCGAAGCAATCGTTCTAATTTTAGACCACTTAACTGCATCGCTGTCACCACGACGACCTCGCAGTGTTTGGGTCCTTGAGCATCTGATTGTTTAGTTGTCCGTTATTTGCTACTGGCAAAAGAAGCTGCATGGGATGTTTGTTCAGGGTGACGGAGTCATTAGTGCAAACAACAAACACTTATCTGCATTTGAGTGACGAGCCTGTTAATACAAAAGGAATCTGACAAAGTCATCGCTTCTCAATAACAGCAGCAAATAGAACGCTTTAAGTTGAGGCCGTACATTAAAAGGTTTTATTGTTACTGAAAAACAAAACGGTCTGAGAGTGAAATACGGGCTTTGATATAAACACCTGAATATTGCATGTACAGACCAGTGTGTATGTTTACACATCCCCGAGCCTCAATGCATTATGGGACAAATCTCTAATCTGATAACTGGTTTGTATCGGCCAACCAATCACTCGTGTTCTGTTTGTTAAATGGACTCGTGTTTACAGAGCTGAGTGCTTGAGGTGACCAAAAAAAAAAATCACTGAGTTTGACAGTAAACCGAGTGGGTTCGGGTGTATTGGCCGTGAAGTGAGGACAGGAAGCTGAACACGGGACGTTTCCCTTAAACAGCGGACAAGACGGGAAACCTCTGACACCGACATGCTGGCCGTGTTAAGGAGTCGTGGTATTTATTCTACTGGGTTAATATAAAATAATCAGTCCTAATTAAATGCGGACCTTGAACGTGACGGCCCATCGAATAGTACGAAGCTCATGTCATCGCAAATCAGCACACCGACAACTAAGCTAAAGCCACTCCCGGAATGCACATACCATTAAAATACTATACATTTATTCAGAATCATCAGCGCCACATTCTCCCTGCAATATCCAACATCGACTTGCAACTAAGTCCTCATTCCGTTCCGATAGCTCATTAAGTAAGTGCAGTGCTCAGCGTTCCCAGCTCATCCTCGCAAAGTGTTTCAGGCCAAATTCAGAAGCTCCGCCGATGCCTTTTTTGCAAAACATTGAGGCAAAAAAAAGAAAGAAAAAGAAATCAAGCGTGAGCAGGCCGTCCCATACCGTTCCTGACAACGCGAGGCTATAATGCCTTCCAAATAAACACGTCACCACAACGGCAATCATTATTATCCACCATCGAATTAAAAAAATAGTTAATTGTCTCTTCGTCCTTGTGAGCGTGCAGCCTCTGCTCGTCCGTGGCGAAGTCACATCATCCGACATCTCTGATATCCGATTTCCTTCGACTCTCTTCTTCTGTGGCGGCCGGAGGGTCTTTCCTCCCCCGCTGTCAGTCCCGCTCTCTCTCCTCCTCTAGCGGGTGAGTCTGTCGGTGCTCCCACATTCGCACCGCTCCGTCCCACTGTGGAGGAACAGGAAGAGGAGCGCAGCGATCAGAGATAAAAAATAAAATAGGCCTCGGATTTCACTTTTACTTATAGAGCTTTCTTCTGTATTATTCCGCTGTTGCCGGCAACGACTTTAGGTAACTTCAGAATTCCACCTAATTGTTTTTTTTCTATGTGTAAAATGCTCATTTGTTTCTGTAAAACAACTGTTTTGATTCTGCTATTAACATCCTTGATTCACGTTCAATTCCCATTGAAACCTTCTTACTTTGTTATTCCCACTGCGATATTTGTGAGCGGTAACACGTGTGCACATTGGCGGGGGACTCACGGAGCTGCTGACGATGTTGTCCTCGTACGGGTGCCAACTGACGTCCCTCACGCACGCGTCGTGGCCCGACAGTCTGGAGACCACGGCGCCCGTCAGGACGTCGTAAACTGGACAGACGCACAAAACGATTCAAAACCATTACGCCACTTGTGCCGAATATCGCGGCCCTGTTCAATCGAATTTGTCACACTCACTGACGACTTTGCCGGTGGAGCAGCCCGAGTAGATGAACCTCTGTCCGGTGGTGAACTCGGGGGAGAAGCGGCTGCGGACGAGGGTGTGCAGGACGCCGTGGCCGCGGTACGTCATCACCGAGGTGTCGCCGGTCAGCTTGTGTCTCTTCAGGGCTGAAAGGGACACATTTTTAAGAAGACATGATTGACCTTGAACCCGTTTGGGGCAATTTACTAAGCAATATAGAGTTCATTTAAATCCCTAAGCCTCTTTGGTCTAGTGAGAATAATGAGTACGCTACTATCAGTCACCCGTCCTCTACACCTTCCCTCCTCTTTGACCTCATGGCATTCACTCATTTCTCTGTGTGGTTCGAATGCTGACAAATACCCACATTTCACCTCTCATCTATCTTTACAAAGTCATTTCACCTTTACATGCTGCTCTTTTCTTACTGCGCGAGACCTCCCCCTCCTCGAGTCCTCTTACTGTCCTTCTCCTCCCTCCGTGTCACCACCTCCCTCCCAGATTGGTTCCCTTACCTCTCTGGGGAACCTGCTGCCAGCGGTAATCCCAGTTTTGCTGCGTGACAGCCACCCGGGAAGCCGCCAGGCCCTCTTTGGGTGAGAACTTCCTAATGTCCCAGAGCTTGATAGACTGGTCCTTTGAGTTGCTGATCAGGTAGCGTGCGTCACCCTGGAACAGTCACAACACAGGTGAGTCAGACCACCACACACGACGCTGGGCTAATATTAGCTTTTGATTAAGAAACAACCAGTCCGTCGGCCAAATCCGGCCAGCCACGAGGCTTTGGGGAAGCGGTGCCTGACAGATTGATAAAATACCAGCAGCATCCCTCCCCCACCTTGCTGTGGATGAAGGTGATGCCGTCTCGGTGGCCGGCCAGCTGTCCGACAGGCTGCGGTCTGTCCTCGCGCAGCGTCCGTCTGTCCCACACCTTGCACAGCGCGTCGTCACTGCCAGAGAAGAGCAGCTGGGACGAGCTGTCGGCAAACGCCACCGCATTCACGTCGTCCTCGTGGGCTTCAATCTGACGAGCGGAGACGGGAGTGAAAGAGGGTCGGCGTGTGCGTGTGTGTGTGAGGAAGGCGGGTGAACGTTTGCGATTTCCCTTTGTGCGACTCAGTGTGTAGTACCCGTGTGATTGTGTGTGTGTGTGTGTGTGTGAGAGAAAGGGCCTTTGTCTCTGTGTACGTCAAAGTCGAGACGTTCCAGGAGTTGATTTAATTGCAGACATATCTTTCTGCAAGACTGAGTTTTGAAAAGTGACGGTTCTGTGCGGCAGGGAAATGCAACAAAACCAGCTTTGGTAGAGTGGCCACACAAGATATATCACATTATTTTATGTAGATCTGTGACCCACCTAATCACTTGAAGTCACACAAGTAATGATAGGCATGAAAGTAGCAGCTGAAACCTTTGCCTTTCTTCCACAGGACGTTGTCGGGCCCAGAGACACACGCGATGCTCAGAATCATTTTCAAATAGAGCATTGGTTGGGGACTATATTTTAGCAAGTGATCTAATGCCTATTAACAGCAGCAGTGAGGTGTACGTGAGATTAAATCAAGATAAACTACAGTGTCTATTGATATAAAGGAGCATGCGACCCGCTGTGACTGATTGGTCTGTATTTAGAAGATTAGAAATGCAGCTCTAGAAGTAGAATAGGATTGTGGTGGTGGGGTGTGGTTAGCTCTGCCGCAGGGGAGCGAGAAGGAGGGGGGCGGGGGGGGGCGGGGGGGCTTCAGAGAACGGTGCCGGTAAGTGGATAACGAGCGCAGCTGATTGATATCCTGACTGAACGCCCCCCCCCCCCTATCAACACTGAGCAGGACTTGGGGAGGAGATCGATCGGCAGAGGCGGACCGGAGCGCTCGGAGGCTCGGCAGGGGGCCGCATGAGAAGGACCCCCACCAAGTTTCCCAGTACACAACAACAATAAGAGAATATAGACAACCACCAGACTCTAAAACGTTTGCTAAATCAACCATTTCAGAGATGAAGTGGAGACACGCAGAGGCAGTATGAGACAGATCAGATTCTGTGGTGAAGCAGATGGTTATGGTTAGCTACTGACCGAGGGGAGGGGGGTTAAACCCCCGTCTCCCACTGCGGCTCGGCCTGCTACATCGCAGGGCGGTGTGAAACTTCATGTAAGCTGGCACACTGTCGGGTCTTTATCACCTTGATCGCGGGACGAGGCCCAAACAGAAAGAAGGTACAAGGTACAAGACGCACTAACCTTCAGCGTTCGCTTGTTCTGCTCGAGATCGAAGACATAAAGGCAGCCGTCGTTTGCTCTGAAAGGAGAGAGAGAGTGTGAAAACATTCGATTATGTGTTCTCCCTGGTCTGAGTGTGCTTTACATTCAATAATTAAAGTATTCACAACCTGTGAGCAAAGAAAGGTTGACTGAATTAGCTTTTCTGAAAGAGGCTTCAGACCCGAGGTGGATTCCGTCAGTCACCACATTGAAACATAAAAGCGAATTGCGCTCACCCTCCCAGGATCTCGTTGCCATCTGTGGACGCAGCCAGTGAGAACACACAGAACCTCCTCTCATCTGGACTACAAAGCACACACACATACACACACACACACACACACACACACACACACACAAACACACACACACAGAGGCATGTAGACATGACAGCAGTAGCACCATTATTCATCCACAACCACGCCGAAAGGCCTCCTCCTCAAACAGGGCTTTTGTTAGCGGTGCTATTGGGTTGAATGAGGGTGCTTTGTGGAAATAATGATCTCTCCGGGTTAACAAAGTATTAAACACAGACACACACATATAAAGGCGATAGGATGGATGTTGATGTGACAGTTCTGACGGCATCATTCATCCAGATGCTAATGATGGGGGCGCAGGGCCGGCTGGTAGCAAGTGATGGATTACCTGCTGTGCCATGTTATCAGTTACTATGAGGGAAACACTAACTTGAGGTCCAAGGCGGTGTGGTTTTCACTGTCTCCATCGATGCTGCACAGGTGAACTGCGGGGAAGACGCACAGAGACACACAGGAGCTCCGCATTAGTAAGAAGGACCATTACATATCCAATTTTAAAGCTGGATCATCGATCATTTGTTTTAAAAATCTTGTTAATCTTTTGAGCTATTACATCCTGCATTTAGAACAATATCTAAGGGGCACTGCAATGCTGAGCTTGCGTTGTAACCATGAAGCGAATGCTAGAGTAAAGTTACTGGCTACAAGAGCCGGATTTCTGTAGATGCCACTGCAGCAACAGTCAAATTTTAATAAGACAACACAGATGGCTCCTGGGGGATCGACAGCTGTGCCTCGCAAAAAGGGAGTCGCGACGATTGGCCTTACTGTAGTCGGACCAGCTGGAGTAGAGCACATTTTGGGCGTCAGGGGTGAAGCAGACGTCCAGGACGCTCCAGCCAACGTCGCGAGCCTTCACCGTTCTCCTTAAGTGGAAGCGGCCCCTCGATGTGTCGTACAGGCGGATGTTCTGGTCTATCAGGACAGATATAATATATATATATATAAACATAATCAGACAGAGGGTAGCTGTTGCATAGAGTATCTGGGTGAGACCTGTTGTCCTTTGCATGTGTTATTTGATCACAAAACAAAGTAAATGAGTAAAATAAAGAGTGCTTCTAAAAAAATTCAGTTTGCTTCAAACTAATTTGCGGTTTGCTGATAGTTGTTGCATCAACACATCGTGAAAAAGCAATTGAGTAATTAGTAGGACTTGGCCGTCAATGACCCTCTTCTGTATGTGACCGCGGACAAATGGCAATGATGGTTTGGCAGTCTGCACGGTTTTAAACAAACACCAGGAGTTACACTATCGCATCGGAGTCGGCTCCTCTGGGTTCTGGTGTTGGATCTGGGGTTATTTACCTTGGCAGGCGGAGAGGAACATGTTGCCATCCTCGCTGTACACTCCACAGAAGGCTTTCTGCTGGTACGTATCCTTGTGCGATACATAGTTTGGCAGAAAGCTGAAAAGAAAAGAAAAAGAGGGTCAATATGATTTGACAGACGACAGGATGAGTCTTCTTGTAAACATCACGTCTAGTCTATTGTACATTTTCTTATGCGTATATATAAAAATAAGATATACATATTCATCAAGGCTGGGGTTTTTTATGCAGCACTTTTCTTCACTAACCAATACTTTCTCGGGTAATTCTTGAAACGGTAATAAATGCGTATCATTCACAGAACTTACTGTGTGCGGATACGACTGCACTCTCCATGAGAAAAACTGGCGCCTCTACATCTGCCCTGCCTCCTCTAAAAAGCAAAGAGTTCAGCAGAAAAAACATCAGAGCGGTCAACATGTCTGTGGAGGTAAACTGGCTGACGCATAAACGTGGAAGCAACGGATGAAATCTAATCGTCATCTCTCTCTCAATGCAAAAGAGTCTCTCTGCGGTCTGACCTCTGTGAGCATGTGGGTGAAACTGTGGCGGCCTTTGGCGGTGAAGGAGCCGGTGGCCAGCAGGATCTGAGTTCGGATCTCACTTTGGTCCACTTCGTGTGTGTCGGGTTGGGCGTCCACTGGGGAGGCAACGCCAAACAAAACAGGTCTTGGTATTAATCACTACACGAGATTAAACTATGTATGGCTGTCACATTGTAGTTGACGTTAAATGGTCATTTGACATTATTGTTAACAATCCAGTGTGGAGGAGAGACGTCGACATAGAACTCACCAGCAAAATAAGGCTGAGTTCTTAAAAAATGTAAAAGATGATTCAATTTGTAATAAATGCTTACCTAATGTTTTAATGTTATACTGCGTATTTAGACATTAAGACACTGACACATGACCTGGGTTTACCTGAAGCGGCAGGTGGGTATTAAACATTCTTACACTTTTTTGCTGATTTGTTTCATAGCGGGTCGTTTCTTGCGCTTTTCATGTAAGGTCCTAAATCCGACTAAGCGAGTGTGCTCATCGGTCTCATCAGGAGACATTTTACAAGTGAATGGTTTAAGGATGAGGGAGCTAAACCGTGCAGTATTCCATCAAATAAACAAACACCGGTCATGTCTGATATTTGAAGCTAAATAAGTTGTATTTTTACAATCATTTTTAAATAGTGAATCTACAGGTAAAGCATACTGCTAATGAAATACTGATGCATGCAGTATGTAGTGCACACTGCACACTATGTTCGTAGGCGGGTTCCCCTTGTTCTGAAAATGACAATATATTGAAAAAATATATGAAATCCAATTATAACAGATTATAATAAGTCTGCTGCTTTTTCCTTATCCCTGCATGTCCTAACAAATTGATTATTTTATCATACTACAGAGAGGTCTATTGGCCTGTTTGATATCCGTTTCCTCTCGCTGCTGTTGTCACCCAGCTGAACATTGCATGTACTAGTGAAACTAAGCCTTCCAATGAGTGTGGCTGTTGAGACGCCACGTTTCAGAAGAAGAGGAAGAAAGCTCCGATGGATCCTTCTAGCTCCGTGCCTGCGGACAGCGCAGTAGGAGGTTACCTGGCGGATTGTAGCGGTCGCCCAGCCGGCCGTCCCAGGCTCCGTCGCTGTCCTCGTCGGAGTCAGAGTACGACTGGACCAGCTGCAGCCCAGTGGCTCCGCTCCCATGGACCAGCCGGACCTGGCCCCTGCACGCACAAACGCCACCTTAGTTCAACCGCCGACAAACCCGAATGGTGATACGTGACCGAATGAATCCACGTACGAGTGTTTGAAGAGGAGGTTCACAGAGGAATATGCAACAAATGTTCCCTTCCACTTTTAAGAGCATTTATATCAAACTGAACAGGGATGGGAAATTCCCACTGTATTGAAGCATTTCCATAATTTGTTTTTTTGACAGAGTTAATACTTTTTTACTGATCATGTAAAGTAGAGAAGCAATTTCTTTCTTATGTAAAAGTCACGTTTAAAATATACACCCTTAAAATGTCAATTAGATGCAATATCAATCAGCCTAGCCATGTACGCGAAGGGTAAACCAAAATTGAAACTTCTTTACATTTAAGGGAGATAAAGTCCACATATCGCAATGCTTATGTACTGCACAGTATTGCATAACACAAATGTTTGCCATTCTTCTGGCCTGTCAGTGCTCTTACGCAATTAACCGCTTTCCCCAAAAATGAATCCCCACAGAAGCTAAACACTAAACAACAACATTCACATCACACACTTGAGACTGTTGGATTCGTCACATTATTCAGGTAGATCAAAAGCAAAATCACACACAAAACCACAAAACAGGGTCTCAGAAAGTGCAAAAACACAAAATCCCCCCCACTCACCTCCTCAGTAGGTAAGCCAGCACTTCAGCTAAGTCCACGTCCTCCTCTGATGCTGGTTGTCTGTCTCCTTGCTGTCCGTCGGCCGTCCTGCGGCCCCGGCTGCTGCTGCTGTTGCTGCTGCTCTGGTTCGGTTCGGATGCTTCGGGCTGCTCAGCTGGGTTGCCACTGGAAGAGCCCCTTCCACCTGACATCCCAGAACTGGACTGAGAGCCCATAGACTGAAGTGGCCTGCTGGGGACAACAACGTGTCAGGTGAAACCGAGGTGAACACAGCGTGCAGTGAACGGGGACGCAGGAGTTAACGTTAGGTAACGTTAATAATAATGGCAGCGAGCCGTAACCGCTGCATTAACCAAAGCTCTAATTTGACATTAACTCAGGCGATTTGCTCGAGACTTTGTACTTCCGCATCTTGCAAGAGACCAAATGACTCGCTCTGCAAACAGGTCTAACGGCACATGTTGTACTCTGCGTTAGCTCATCGCGATTAAAGACGCTCGGGTTCGTTCTCGTTGAGCTAGCTAAGCATGCTAACGACTGAGCGTTATGTTTACCGTTTGACTGTCCAACGGTCTTCTGGACAGCAGCGCGGTCCAGCGCTTCGTCCCCTCGCGTCCCACTGACCGAAATGCCCCCGAGCGTAACTTCCTACGGGTCCAACGCACTGCGGTGTGTGGCACAACAAGAGTGCCGGCGCAGTTTTGTCTGCTTAGTCGGCTAACGGGGCCAGTCGGGAATCGCCATGTTGTTTACAAAAATGTGACCCCGCGCGTGCCCCTTTCCTTTCACTGTCACGTGACCAGTTTGACGGCAAGCAGCTCAAAACACAAGAGTATGTGCATATATTATATAATATATCGTATAATTTATATGAATTTTTATATATATATATATATATATGCTAAATAGGCACAAAAGGGTTACACTTGGTGGTACATTGGTTATTTTTCAAGCGTTAGGAACCCGGCGTTCATAATCTTAGAATCCAACTGTCTAGTGTCTAGTGGTTAACAGCTCACATGTGATAATGTGGAACTTGAATATTCTGGTTGCCTTTTTCTTCTGTGATAGGTTTGAAGGGGCGCTGACTGACATACAGGAGAACCCTTGGTGTGTCTCTCTAATGACTGATGATTGCTCCCCATCTGACAAAGCTTTCCCACGTATCACATTACTCTATACTGTAAACAATCTGTTATCTTGTGTGTCTGTGTGTCCATCACAGGTGTCCAGACAAAGCTGCTCCCAACAGGTGCTGGTGTTGCTACAGTCGAAACGAGACCAGCAGAGCGATCAGTCGGAGGGCTCATTTAAAGCTCCCAGAAACAGCCTCCACCGACTGCTCGTTCACGGACTGAAATTGACTGAAATTGAAGATGATAATGAATGCGTGACAACACAACTCATCTTTTGTCACTAGTCTCCCTCTCAGTGGAAGGATGTGTTATGTGTGGGAGGATTTCAATGGACTTGCCCAGTCCTCTTTTTAAAAATGAAAACACAGCTGTACACTAAATCCTGCAGTGCCTGCCTCTTAATTATATGTTAATCTAACTTGCTTCACAATTGCAATGTGGAATTAAGTGCTTTCACGCATCTAGCTCTGCAGCACAGAGCTCTCAACTTTTCCAATCATAATGAAAAAACTTCCACAGTTACTGTAAAAACTAGAAGTCCAATTCAACCAGATAGTTTGAGACTCAGGATACATCTTTTTTTGAAGTATGGTTGGTTTAAAAATACGTACAATAAGTACAAATATTAGTGTCATAAAGAATATGCAAGGAAAATACTTTTTTTGCTGCCCTTGATTTAATTCCAAACCATAAGCTTTAGTTAAACATCAACAGAGAAGTCATTCATGAACTTAGAAGATATTTTTTCCATTTTGACCCATTTTGGAGTCAATCATTTTTTCTTTAAGATCAACGTGATCGTAAACATTTTGGATGAAATAGCATTGAAAACAGGTTGGTTGCGGCGGACATATTTGCACACAATCATCTGTTAATAAACAAGGAATATCTTCAGCAGAAAATGTCAGTCACCAGCTCTCAACCTGGGAGTGTCTAATATGTCTATTTACTTGTCTTTTTAATACACAGTACAAAACAATCATCATTATTAGGGAACAAACTGTATGGCCTCCTATTTATCTCCAGGGCTCAGACTTCCTCTCATTCTCTTCTCAGCCAGACACAAATATATATAACTGGTGCAACACAACACAGCCGTGAAACATTGAGCCTATTGCTGTTATTCAGAGGTTTTTAATTCAGGTCAGTACAGTGATTATAAACAATAAGTCTTTAAACTAACACAAATAAAAACCAATTTTTGATGAACACTTCCAAAAAATAAATGCCTCATTTCTACAAACAATTTAGCTGTAAAATTTCTTCAAATCTGTGAAGCAACATGTTACAAAACATGTTCCCTCAGTAGTCTTGCGTAGTGCTCTGGGTGATTTCTTTGAAGGTAAACATGCATTTTTCCATCAACTTGCTGATCTCCAGTCAGACCTGAGAAGAAGAAGAAAACATTCAGAGAATTCAGAGAATGGAAAATTGAAACATCACTTGATGAACACAACCCATGAGCCAGGCTTTGCCGGCAGGCTCGACAGCTCCGAGCTCACCCAGTTTTCCAGCCGTTCTTTCGATCTTCTCCAAGGCAGACTGCACGTCTCCTGCCTCCGGAACCAGGACCTCTATCTCTCCCACATGGTAGCCAAAGTCAGCCTGGTCCAGATCGATCTGCACGCCCTTCTCCTCTAAAGTGAATGACTGGCGCACTGTTGTGAAATCTGCGAAGCACACCAGATTCATTTCGCTCAGCCAGGACTCGTCCCCCTGTGAGCGGCCTGCATCCGTCTCTCCGTCCCCGCAAATGTCTTTTAAGACGTCTTTCACCCTTCGCTGAATTTCCGGCAGATTGGTTATCTCCCTGTAGCGGGAACACAGTGCTGCGCCTTCAGACTGCACCCCGGATGGCTCTTCCGTCACGTTCGCCGTGATTGGGCACTTCAACTCCCAGCATCCCTTGCGTTTACGCAGCCACGTGTCTCTCAGAGTCAGGTCAAAACTGGGGTTGTCAAAGTACTGGTCACGAAACTGGCGCTGACCAACACACACTGCCGAGCAAAAGGAAAGGGAGAAGAGGGATGGCTGATTTTTAAAAAATGGACAACTAAACATTCAAATGCTCGTGAGGTTGATGCAGATAATTAAACGTAACTGTTAACAAGAGACAGATGGCCAGTGTCAAGTTACAGTGAAAACTATAGCAATCAGTGTAATTAAATGAAGTCCTTCAGGGACCTTTTAGAAGTTGATCACAGTGTTAGTGCAATGCCTCAGTTCCTGATGTATGATGGCATAAATGTGTTGTAAACAAACTCAACACATACCCCCAATTTCCTCCAGTGTTTTCAGAATGTCAGCATTGCACAGAAACTTTCTTTCCACTTCCACACTCATCTGAAATGACACAATAAGATTAACATAAATTGTACTGTACGCTTTTACAGCATGCTCACAAATCAAGTTAACTAGGTGCATTTATTTCAGTCATGCGCAGTATGTTCAGCGTCACTACAGTTTAGAGGGAGCTGTACTTTTTGTTCAAATTGACTTATTCATCGACTTAATATCGTACAGATTGAGATATTATCATGAAGATATCAACTTCATTATTCAAAATTACCGTCACTTTAATATTCTGTTTTAAATGCATATTACACGGCAATGAACAATTCTAAATAATACTTTATTACAACCACGTGTTTATATATGAATTCCTGATTTTGAGTAACGTTTTTTGTTTTTATTACATTGTATTTTGATAAATAAAAGATATGCTCACTCCGCCACTGCATTTAACCCTTACTGTTGTGATATTTGGGTTTAGCTTCGTAAAAAACTCATTCCGTTTGTCAGTATCTTATCGTCAACCCCCGATTGTAAACTACTCGTGCGGCGCCGCAGAGGCTCCTGGAGGCGCCGCACCTGGTCGCCTCAATCCATCACGCCCGAGCTGCGCCGACACGGAACCAAAGCGCGTTAAATACCACCGCGCTTGCGGCCAACTGCGCCCTCACACACCTTCCTCCGGTCGGGCGCCTCAGATTCCCGGGATTCCGGTATCAAACGGAGAGCTGCGCTTCAACCCGGTCGCCCTACACGTCAGCGAAGCTTCATTTTCGCTCAGGCGCAGTCGGAGACACCTATCACGGCGTTCACGAGCATCACTTCCTGGTCCCGGCAGCGCAGGACCCGCGCGGATGGTGCAGTTTTAATCCCCTCCTGCTTCATAAATATTCCACACACTCGACTGTTGATGTGCGCCACACCTAACACTTGATTGGAAACACGTTACGATGTGTGTGTGTGTGTGTGTGTGTGTGTGTGTGTGTGTGTGTGTGTGTGTGTGTGTGTGTGTGTGTGTGTGCGCGCGGCTGAGTGGTTATTTCTATATTATTCACCATTAATTAACTCGTCACACTCTTTGCGTCAATCCAAGTTGGCAGAATGGGGACTCATTTTTTATTCACATTTAATGTAAAAACGTGCGGGTTTCACATTTTATGTCATCGGCATACTTTATGGTGCGGGGAGGGGGGTGATCGTCACGAATGCTTCGCGTATAATCTCGATAACTCCAAAGGTTTGTCGGCATTTCAACGCGCATTCTGTGATAATCTAATATCTCCGCGGTTACATAAGGGATTTGATAGCCGCGTCTGTCCCTTCTGAATGTCAGCAATCAGCCTTGGGGGGAGCTGTGGTCTGTTTACTAGACGAGAGAGGGGAAGGAGAGCGGGATAGGGCGAATGAAGGGAGGGGGGGAGAGAGAGCGAGAGAGAGGGAGAGAGAGAGAGGGAGGGCAGGCAAGAAAACTTTTCACTTCTGAGGAGCCACAGAGGAAGCGCGCGTGTATGTGTGTGTGCGCGCGCGCGTGCTGGAGCGGCGACCATGCAGGTAAAAGACGCATTAGCTAATTGCTCTGAACTTAATTAAACGTCATTCGCGATCGCCTAATTGTGCCGATCTAAGCGGGGAGGGCGGCCAGCGACCGATCGGGGGCTGAGCAAACGACGGGTCGTGCCCCACGCTAATCCGATCCCTCGTAGAAATCCAACATTAAATCCAAACTTTTTCTTCTGCCTCGTCTGTCCTTCGCCTGCTGGCTCTCTACACCCCCATCGCCGAGCCGACCGCGGCGCACGTACTCCGCTTCAAGTAGCTTTTTTTTTCCTCCTTCCTTCATTTATTTTTTCTAAATCCGTTTAATTCCTTTCGCCAATTACGGCTCGAAGCTGTTAAAAAATGGGTAGTTTAAAATGGCCCATGTGTTGCACCCGCAGAGTGTTTTTACGGGTACAGATTTCAAGCGCTAGGACGCCGTCCTAAAGAAGGGGGTCTGCTGGGCTCGGAGGGAGGAGGTGCAATGGGTTTTCATACACTTCTGTCTAGCGGGAGCCCACGTTCATTAATTAAATGGCTTCGGTCCGGCTAGGCCTCAATTTGCGCTGCTGAGCTGCGGGCGGCGGGCGGCGCGACGTGACGCGAGACGCCCGATTGGCAGCCCGCAATCACACGGGTAAGGAGGCAACTCGAGGCCGAGGTCTCGGCGGTGCGCCCGGCGAGAGTATTTTCAAGCCCGCGGTGAACTCGGTCGGCGTGTCGAGGCTGCAGTTCCCACCTGGACCGGGCAGAGTTCGTAGCGAGCGGAGGCTGGTGGCCAGTTGTGGACAGTTTGAGAAGCGGTTAATTATCTGCCTGCTAACAGGCTAGCTAGCCAAGTGACACGACTGTTATTAGCTCAACCTCCCGTTTTTTTTGTTTTGTTTATCACTTTAACGGCTGTCCGGGCTTCGCCGCGAGCCCGCAACGAGGTCACGCACGCGCCGGCCGCGTCCCCCGCGGTCTCCGGGAAGTGTCCGGCGATCACCGCGGGGTTATTTTCCGCAAACTAAACGGCATTTCCAGAGAGACTACTGTAATGCGACGTTACGGGGAGAGGGGGGGGGGGCTTCTCAACCTAGCTTGCTAGCTAATTGATTCGCCTGTGGTCGGCGTAGCTAATTAGACCGCTCGTTAATTAGCCAGCCACGAGCGGCGGCGGCGTCAATCCGGTCGTGTCGCGGCTTTTAACGATGAAGCTGGAAATGCGGAGCCTTCAAACGCGACGTACGTACCTATATGTCGCCTTGGCGAAACATTATCTGGTCGTATAGCGCTGCTAGCTTGCTAATTGGCGAGACGAGGAAGTGAGGATTACGACTGTGTTGGTATTTCTCCTCATGGGCATGGTTTGCTGTCTTGGTTGCTTTTTTCTGGGGGGGTCGTGGACGCTTGCAGAAAAAATACGTAACGCCGTGTTGTAAAAAGCCAGGCTATTGTGCTTTGTTGACTTCCCTAAAACTACGTGGGTGTCACAGTTATTTGATCATGCAGGTCGAGCCTATGCAGTAGGAGCTCCGATCACAGTTCGTATATTGGCCACGTTCCTCGTCCTTGGTCGGAACTGCGGGGGGGGTTGGGGGGGGAAGATAAGTGGGACTGTGACTGTACACCCTTTTGTTAATTGTCAGTGCATGTAATGAAGATCGCGTTCGTCTCCACCCTATTCTGCATGGTATACGTTTAATGTGCATGTGCCATGCGAGTTTGTTGAAAGTTTGATGGATTGCAAAGCGTTTGAAACCGCAAATCATTCATCTAAAAATGCATTATGAGGCTCCTCCTTTATATTTCGGAGAGGCAATTAAAACAAATTGCATTATTGTTATTTGATACGGTTCTTGCAGCCAAAATGTAGGGAACCTCCTTACAAAAACACAGGGCCATGGCCTGCCTATTGAAGGGTTTGGTAACCGGCCTCTGATTGTGATTCAAATAGTTAAACACGGCAATGCATAAGCGTCGGCACACCTTGCCATGGTGCGCAGTCAACAAGTAACCATGTACTGGTATGTCGCTGAAATATCTTCTCAACCTTTCTGCACTGCATTGGTGATGAATAGTTAGGGCCCCCCCAGCAGGAGTAGGATTGTCTAACGCCTATTTGTTTTGATAGGAGGAGTCTGGAGAGACAGTGAGTTGTGAAAGCAATGGAGTGGCAGAGTGGCTGTGCCCCCTGTGCCAAAAAAGGCAATCCGACAGATCCTCCCTGTCTCTACATCTCACAGAGCAACACAGCGTACTTCCATCTTGTGTCGACAAACTGCTGGACATTGTAAGTGCGGCTCGGCCGTACGTCACCGAACTGTACTCGTCGATCTTTAGTACTTTGGGTCGTGTGCCATTTACGTGCGTAATGTTTAATGAGGGGGCTTGTGGCCCGTTTAACGTACAAGGGATAAATACATAACATTATATTCATGCATATAAATACAAATTGTGCTACGTGACATCAAAACTAAGGATGAGTGATGCAGTAGTCTCATTAGAACTTTTAACAATGACTTCACATAAGCGTCAGCATTCACTGCTAGGCTAATGTATTATGCATTTTTTACTTTGTCCACTGTCTGTCAAATATATTATGATATTTTCTTTAGATCATTTTAATTTTACCCCGATGTGGTTAGAGTGCACCGTTTATTGAATTTCAATTTGTAATAACAATTACAAAATTGTTAGTCATTTAACGTGCTTGAATGTAATTACTGGGTAATTACGCTGCTCTTGGTCTTAAAGTCTGCTGTTTGTGAAGAAAGTACAATTCGTATCCAAACCTGAATGATCTACGGCATTGCTTTAAAAAAACTTATCCAAAGAATAATATTCGTTGGATAAAATGCTTTACCCACAATGCTGGAAAATATACAAATTTTTTGCATAATCCGTTACTACATTAGTAATTCAGTCCGACTTTTGAGGGTGTTTTCTCTTTGTGTTAGTAACTTGTTTTGGCCGTGTTGGCCTGTATTTTAACCACACATCAACAAGTCACACCAAATGTTGTGAGGCTTAAAAGTATTAGTAAAGTAAGAGTATTCAGCTCATCCAAACGGACTTGGTACAGAGTTAAGCTTGCTATGGGAATCTAGCTTACCATCTCCTTTCATTGTCTTTTAACAGGCTGTTCTAAAACAGGGTGGCAGTGGAGGAGCAGAGGACACAAGTACTCTGAAGTTTTCAAGTGAGTGTGAAAAGTACTACTGAAGATTTATTATCCAACCTGATTTGATCCATAAATGGATAAATATGATGTTTAATATTCTGCATTGTTGTCTGTTGTCGAAACATTGTTTCCGAGCTAAATAGCAAAGGGAAGGCTTTAACTATTCAAAATAGCTCCTTCTGTGTGTTAGCTGGGTGCAGGTGGGTATGAAGGGTAACGTGTTGGTTTCTCCTATCAGTTAGACCTCCATTTACTTAAACCTAAAGATTAAACTGGAATATTCCTTTTATCAGGTGCTGAATCTTCACAACTGAAGCAGACGGACGACGTCTGTGCAGATCCCTGCCAATCAAGTGCGAGTTCAGACGCCACCCAGACGCTGGGAGACAAAGAGATGGAGGAAGAGAGAATAGTAGAACGGGAGGGAGGTGAAGCTGAGCCAGAGCCTGAAGAGGAGGGAAATCAAGTCACAGGAGCCAAACATCCAAATGCAACTGAAAACGTAGAAATCCCAGACAGTAGTGAAAAGGCAGTTGGTAAAAATGGTGCGCCAGCTGAAAATAACCCCCAGTCATTCAAATGCAATGCCTGCCTGGAAACGTTTCCTGGCAAAACAGCCTTGAAAGTTCATTACAACTCTGCATCGCACATCCAGAGGATGACAACGGGCCCGGAGAAGCAAGGTGGGGACACCGATCCCCCGGCTCCCTCGGTTCCTGTCCTGCCTCGGCCATACAAACCCTACCAGTGTGCTGTGTGTCGAGTCTCTTACAATCATGCCATCACCCTCGAGAGCCATATGAAATCTGTCCTGCACCAGACCCGCAGCAGGAACGCGGGAATTGTCACACACGCAGCAAACAGTGCAGCCGCCACTTCTAGCTTGGGAGGCACCGCCACCAGTGCTGTAAACGCTGTAGTGACCACGGCCGGAAGTGGCACCAGTCAGTTGGTCACCAGCACCACCTGTGTTTCTCCAGGGGCTCTGATGGTGAATGCCACAAAAGACGGAGAGCAGGTTCCAACTTCCCAAGTGGCCGCCTCCCTCCTCACCTCCCCTGTGGCCTCGGCTCAAGCAGTTTCGGCCTTTCTCACCCTCCTCACATCTAGTCCCAGCACTCTCTCGCACCCCCTCCTCCCCTCCCTCTTCGCGGCTGGTGCTGCTCCCGGTGCCGCCGTGCCACAGCTCGTGCCACAACCTCAAATGGTCATGCCCTTGATCTTGAATGGGCTCCAAACCCAGCAGCACATAGAGAACCAGCAAGGCCAGCTCCTAACCCAGTGTCTGCCGTTCGTAGGTCTCAGCACAGCCCAGCAAGCCCTCTTAACCCAAAGACTTACCAGCTTACAGAACCAGTGGCCCTCTGCAGGGGTTCCAACAAACCTACAGCCCTGCCCAGTGCAGCAGACTGTAAAGTGTGAGCGAGAACCCGAAAGACAAGACAATGACGAGACCCAAGAGAGGGTCTCGGATCACATCGAGGGTAGGAAAAACTGGACTACAGACAACCTTAAATCTGAGAAAGTTATGGAAAAGGACAGTAAACAAACTGCCCAGTGTCCCAATATTGAAGATAAAGTCAGTGTTGAGAAAAGCGAAGACAATGGGAAGGCGCGCAGAGATAGCACAACAGATGGAGACCGCTCGACTGATCAGTTGGACCTGGAAGGTGATAAAGCAGCTAGCCTCAATCTCTCCCCAGTGAGCACAGAGAAGAGCCTCCGCAATAAAAATCTCTCGCCTTCTGCATCTGTGCCCAGCAACTCAAGCCTCAGTCCTTTAAATTTAAATCTTACACTGAGCCCTGATTCTACTCCTCAAAAATCCCACTCGGGCACGAGCCCCTGCGGCTCACTTGGCACCCCAAAATCTAGCCCGAGCACAAACGCCTTAACTAAGAACCAAACTCGACCTCGTTGTAATGCAATGGGATCCGTTAATCCAGACCTTCCAGTGCTGTCAGAGTTCCAGTCGGAGGTTCTCTGGGCATTCTTTGAGTCACGAAGTGAGGCTGACGCCGCCAGTCCCCCCCGTGAGGACTGCGAGGCGCTGGGCAGAGAGGTGGGACTTTCTGAGGAGGAGGTACGCAAGTGGCTGGGCCGGGCCCGACATGCAAAACGGAGGCAGAGGGCGACCCAGTTGGAACACCTGCAACGCCTGGCGGGATTTACGAGGCACGCCGAAAGTTCCGACTGCGACGATGAGGAAAACTCCCTGGTTATAGCAGAGGGGGACGATGACATCGAAGCGTCGGGTAGCCAGGCAATGGATTTGTCTAGTTCAAGAGGGAAACGCAGAAAGAGAGAGGCAGGGAGGGATGCTCTGGGGGAGACCTGTCTCACCTCTGACTCTGAAAATGAGGTCTACACTTCTGTCATCGTGTCTGATGAGGAAAGTCAGAATGGATCTTTGAGGGGGGGCCCTGAGAGCCCTGCTAAAGATGAAGCACATTGGGAAGTCCCTGGTGATAAGGGGCCAGTTGGGGGAAAGGTCTTGCGCTCCACAACGGTGTTTCTCTCTGATGCAGAGGATGAGTACGAGGTTGAGGAGTGTGGAGGGGGTCAGAGAGCGATCAGGAAAAAACGAAAGGGCGAATTTGAACGCGACGAGGTGGAGGTGAAGAAGGAGAGACTGGACCCTGATGTGGATCTAGAGTTGGAGGCCCAAGGGGATCCTCCAAGTTCACAGTGTCATTCTGAGATTCCAATCAGTGCGCTCCACTCACTTCCAATGTCCATTAACCCTTTTTCTACTCAGTTCCTGAGCCCTTACGTCCTCTCCCTTAATCCTTCGTTGGTTGATGGGAGCAAAGCGCCCATTTTTACAAACCCGCCCACCATCACGCGCTTCTCCAGCTCTCTACTCTCACACTCTCTCTCCTCCCACAGCCAAGCTTCCCACTACCTGTCCAATGGCGGCGACTGTGAGTCTGCTCTGGATCTCAGCATGGGGAAAAACAAGAAGTGTGCTTCTTCCTCATCCTCTTTGGCTGATAAAATTGCAGCACAAAAAGGACAGTTGCTGGATGGGCTCGGTTTGAGGCCCACCTCCAAAGGTCTGGTTGTCGTCCAGGTGAAGCCTGAACCCGTCACTTCCATGATCTCTTCCAACAGCAGTTTGAGTCTGTTGAACTGCAACAACATGACAAAGTCCAGTATTTACATGAGGGCAGCAGAGAAAATGAATGCCACGCTATTGGAAAGGGAGAGAGCGAAGGAGAAGGAGAGGGAGCAGGATCCGCAGCAGCAGAGAAAGTCCAAAGGAAAAAGGTATCGGGATATGCGACGTTCAAGGACCATCATTCAAGCGGAGCAACTTGACATTCTGTATGGCTGCTATTTCAAAGACCCAAATCCTGGGAAACACGAGTTTGAACAGATTTCAGAGTGGGTCCACCTTCCAAAGAAGGTTGTTCAGATTTGGTTCCAGAACATGAGGGCGAGGGAACGAAAGGGTGAAGTCAGATTCATCAGCGACGGCACCCTGGCAGCAGTCGGTAAACCTCTCATCAAATTTACCTGGCCTCTTTCCAAGCCCATTTTCTCAAACAAGCCCGCTTCAAATAATACCGGGTGCATCACGACTGCTCCGATTGTGCGCACCCTCATTAAGACTGAGAGGGAGCCTGTAAAGGAGCTTGGCAAACCTCCCACGGTGAAGAAAATGGCCCCGGTTCCTATCAAGCCCAAAGAGGTTGTCTCCTCTACTACGGTGTCTCCCGTGAGCAGCAGCAGTGCTTCTGCAGCACCAAAGACTAAGCTCGAAACGACCAGCAATGTCACTATGGTCAAAGTGGCACCAAAGGTCCTCCCTCCTGTCCTGTTACCGCCACCCAAGGACCTGATCCCCATTGCCCCGCGGCCGACGCAGAAACGAAAGCTAGAAGAGGAAAGCGAGGAGGAAAAGACCGATGAGGAGCGAGACGATGAATGCGAGTTGGCTTCTGGACCAGGAAGCACTAACCGCATGGTGCCCAAGCTGCCCACAACTCCCATCAACAACAGGCCTCACACCACAATAGTGGTGCCACAAAAACTAAACGGGCTCAACTACTGGACCCCCAAGGTCCCGATTAAGATAAACACCCTGTCCAGAGAGCAACTGGCTCTCCCGTCATACGGGTCTCCACGTACCACCCCCACTCCTCCGACCCCCAGCACTGCGCCAGTTAGCCCCAGTATCCCAGGTTCTGCCAAAATGGCCATCCCTGCCCTCCCGGTTCGAGCCAAATCCAGCCCGACGGAAAACTGTATTCTGCCCCACTCATCCAACCGCAGGCCGCGCACACACCTGTCCTGCCTACAACTGTCCATTCTGCAGTCCTGTTACGAGACCTGTGCCCACCCGAACGCCATGGAGTGTGAGGCCATTGGCACAGAGCTCAACCTGCTGCTGAAGGTGGTGCAGATTTGGTTCCAGAACACGAGAGCCAAGGAGAAGCGCTGGAGGCTGCAACAAGAGAAACTGGTAAGCAGGCAGGTTGGCGTAGGCGTCACAGGGTTTTAAACATAACTCGTTGATCTAGTAAGAGTGACTATCTACTTAAGTTGGGTTAACCTTGCTGCTCTGCAACTTTTTTATTCAAAGTCTGGGCCATATTTTCACTTGAGTAGTGAATTGAGTGGAGGCAAAGTGATGAGCACTTATTGTTAATAAACCAAATCTAATGTAACATTAAATGATTATGTTTTACAAAACCTACTCGTGTTCTTTTCTAGATGGCAGTGGACCATAGGTCATTATTATTTAATTGTCACAAATATAAAACTTCTGAATCTTCTGATTCTAGCTGAATGTGTCTGCAGCTGACGTCCAGTTTTCTAACTAATTTTAAAAAGTAGTTTAGTATTGCTTGAACAATAGCATATATGAATTTATTATTATTCAAAGATTCAAAGATTTTTTTGTTATTTACACACTTTTTACACCCTGTATATTGAAATTCTTGTGCTTGCCTTTCCGGAAAGCCGACCAATTTTAAAATTAAAATAAAAATAAGAATAAATAATTAATGCCTGCAATTAAGTTCTCAAAGTATTGCCCAAGATCACACCCATATTACACTCTATAAAAAAACAAGGCTAGATATCGCTTTTCATATTCCTAAAAGTGCATATAGTTGTAGTTAAACCTGTAACTACCTTTTTTAAAAGCTGTGAAATTGAACTAATTCTCCTGCTGGTCCTGTCTGCCCACCTCTCCATCTCCAGTCTCCGCTGTCAGGTGGAAAATTGGACATGAGCTCGGGAAGCTACCTGCAGTACAACGCCCTCAAAGCCAATCGTCCCATCCTGCCCAAACCCGTTCAGCTGACCGTGACGGAACCTCCAGCTTCCCCGGTGGCGGGCCAGCCGGTGCCGAAGGAGACCCTGACGGGCCGCTGTGACGCCTGCAGCTTCTCCTTTGAGTCCCGGGCTGCGGCGCGGGCCCACGTCTTCTCCCCGCTACACCTGGCAACCCTGAGAACCACTAACTTTGGCCAGCCAACGATGCTCGGCAACAAGAACGGAACCGGTAACGGAGGCGCTCACTCCGCCGCGGCAACCGGCGCTGGAGGCGAGGTGGTTGTGGAGTTGCCGCCGACTACAGCCACCAGCAGCAGTTAAAGACTCGGATCACGATTGGTCTGCACACTGACTCTTCTTGGACCCATTTGGGCTCCTCAGATTTCTATGAACCAATTTGAGCACTAATCCTTGGAAGCTAATTTTCTTTAGTTTTTGAAGGTGGCTCCCCCTGCACCCGCTATCCCTCGCTCATTTTCACGGACTCTAAACCTGTCGATCGATGGAGCTCACCTGAAATCCAACCCAACAGCAGACTATTTCCACGCTGCTTCACACTAACTCAGTTTCTGGCTGATAAGCGATTCGCCGCATCGCAAGTCTCCCTTCAGTCCTTACACACTTTATCGGTCCTAAGCCTGTGGTCATATATGACCTTCCTATAATTTGTAAAGGCACCCAACTTGCCCTGCTTGAACTGTGCTACCCTAAAGACTAATGAAATTGTGTTTCCTCTTTGGAAATGGCCATTTGACCTAAGGCCTGGAATGTTTTCTGGTATAATAACTCCCAGTTTTCTCCTGTGGAAATGTATTTCTCATGCCTACTTTCACTTTGAGGGCAAAGGTTGCTTGGATATAATATAACTGGACTGAACCATCTGTAGAGGAGGAACTGGTTTTAACTGTCACCTTTTTTTTTTTTTTTTTTTTTCCTTTCCTACAGAAGTGATCTGAAGAGTGTTGTGTCCACTCATTTGGGATAAAAAATAGAGGTACTTTAGAGAGAACAGAGCTGTTGAATTGTCCCCATTTACATGTTCATAATTTTCACGACAATCCTAATAGACAGGGCGAAAAGAGGCTGAGGAGCGTAAAAACTTGGCATACCGCACTTTGACACATTTTACATTGTTTGAAATGTTTTTAAGCATTCAAATGCAAAGTGTCTTTTTATGGAAAGATACATTAATGCATGGTGGATGCCTTATTATAAATCACGTGAAATGAACTGATTTTTGCTAGTTAATAAAACATGCTTTAGGTGTAAGCATACTTGTGCATAAGCAGACCTGGGTATGTAAATGAAGAGGTCTGTTGCAAAATGCTTTTATATCAATTTTTTGGGGGGGGAATATGATGTCATATTCTGTACCTAGATCATAGCAAATCCTGCCTGTAAAGTTGCCAGCATCCTATCGGCCAAGGACTATAATAACATAAATACCAACAATCTTGTTTTTATTACAAATTACTTTGATCCTGTGGATTTCGCCTTCCCTCCAAATGGTGTACATCTCATTTTGAAATGCAGCTCTTCAAACCTTGAAGGGTAATATAAATGTATTTACGTACTGTGGGTGTGTTACACATACGACCGTCTTGAGAAGATATGCCACCAGATATACAAAATCCAGCCTGTGTGATCGTTGTATAATGTAATTAATTTCATCCTCACCTGGCCCGGGGGGGTCAGACCAAATTCTTTTAATCTACTGTTTTATTTGCCATGAATACTGTGCATAAGACAGGAAAGATAAGTACTCCACTTTATTTGCTTCAATATTTATATAAATGCCAATTATAAGCAATTAAAAACAGACTTTTTTTCTTTTGGGGAAAAAGAAAGTCCCCAGAGAGTTTTAAAGGGGGCGTGAGAGAGGGGCCCCCCCCCCCCCCCCCCCCCCCCCCCCCCGCGCCCCTGCCCCCCTCCCCTCGTTTTGTTCAGTTTTGAAACAGTTACTACTTCTGGAAATGTACGTGCTGTGAAATGAGATCTCGTATCTGGAATCCACAACAAGGGAGAAAGTTTGGTATTGCTAGTATCCTCAAGGGACTAATGAATACTGAAATCTTGAAAGCAAATTAGAAAACATTAAACATGTTGACTGAGAGCTAATAAGATGGTGCTGTGTTGAAGGACACCTAACATACTAAAGATGTTTTCCTTCAAATTAAGTTGTATATTAATGTTACTATTGATAGTTTTAACAAACATGCAAAACTTAAAACATGAATTTTTTGTAAAGAAATATATTAAACAAATAACTGATATTCCAAAGTAATCCTCCCTTTGCTTTCTGTCATTCAAAAACCAAAAAGCAAATCCTGAGGTCGACAGAGAGCAGGAGAGTTGTTCGTAGATGCAAACTGTAAAGAACATCCCACGGCTTGACACTTGCACTAGTCCACAATCTTTGCACAAGCTACAGGCATTTCAAATGAACACAGCCATGAACATGGCATTAAGAGTCACTTGGTGTGTTTTTTGAAACGTGGAGGGGAACATTTACCTTTCATGAGTAATAATTTGTACTCTTGGAAACTGTATCTTGTGTGTAAAGCAAGGACTGGAGTGCTTTAACTTCAAGACTGGGATTACACACACACACACACACGCGCACACACAGACACGGTGTTGCACTGTCCAAACTAGATAGGTTTTTATGGAGATCTGCTTTTTATTCTCTTATGTTTCATTGTCACTTTGGATTATCACTATTGTTATATCTGTACTACTACTTATACGATGTATCATTACTACCCATCACTGTTTTTGATTATTATTGATTCATACTGGTTTTAAATGCCACGTCTCTGCTCATATACAATATGGTATTCCTATGAATATTGAACAATAATAGTGGCAGTGTTGTTATGAATTGTTAGATTTTTGATTAAGCTTATTTCTTTCCTCCTCACTTGTACCTGCCTTTTTGTGTTTGGTCTCCATTATGCTTTCTTTGATATACAGAAAAACAAATAAAATCAGTTGAACAACAAAACATATCTGTCTAATTGCAGAACCAGTTATTTGGTCAAGAAGCAAACCTGGTTATGTAAATTAGGAAGATTAAAGTTGCAAAAGTGCTGTCATATCAGTCTTTGGTGGAACAATTTATTTGTGAAATGGGCTTTTTTTATACTTCTTAAAAGAAATTCAATCATGGATATGAACAAATACATATGATGTTCAGCCTAAGCTGCACATTTTAAATAAAGATCACTTATGTCACACTGTAGGAGACAAGTGTGCCTAGAATTAATTTGCTAAATTTTCTTACCAGTTTACTTACCATTGACTGGTTTATGATTGACAGGAACGTAATCCAATTAAAAGCATACATGGGATTTGGAAACCGGAAAACTTCGTACAGACAACCAATACAAACGCGGCATCTATCCAAGGGGTTGGTCTACAACCTTCCGCTAGCGAATAGGAATGATAGTTTTACGCCCGCAGTGATGCATGACTCCGCCCCCGGCTTCCATTTCTGAACTGAAGCGACGCCGCCGCTCTCGCGTAGAGTCCTCGCCTTTTTTACACACTCATTTAAGTAAATAAACCAGGTTATCTATCGTAAATTAGCACCGCCGCGAACCGGTAGTGAGTGAAACTGGGGTTAATGTTCATTGCGGTAGGCTGTTTGAGCAGTGGCTAGAACTGTAGCTAGCATTTTATTCCCCATTTTAACTTTTCTGAGCGGCGTTTTTCCGCCGTTTTTTTTTCCTCGTTTCGCCGCCCCGCTCACTCGACTCCCTTGTGCGTGAGTAGGGGCCTGTACGCCGGCTTGGCCACGAGGCGCGTCGGCACAGTTGCAACAGAACAATGGCGGAGTTCGGCAACGGACTGACGGAGGAATCTCTACTAGATTCAGATCCCGGACATCCCGAGTTGGAAGACCCGGGTGTCGGTGACGAAGAACCGGGATTAGAAGACGGAGAGGCCGCAATCGAGGACCCGGTAAGTGAAGGGCATTGTTTCCGCTGTGAGAACCCACATGGTACCATGCTGACGTTACAGGCGAAACGTAGACGTTAACTAAAGCAACCGAGGCATTTTGTTATTCTTCTTCTCTTCAAATCTTTTGGTCACATGCCGCGCAGCGTTACGCTACTGCTATCGCTAGGTCGATATTACAACCGCCATTGTGGTTCACGCAGTGCAGCACAAATGGGTGGTGGCATGCGTGGTTTCGGCAGCCATCTTGGCGCAACGGCGGCGCCAGGGAGCAGTCCGAGCCGTTGGGCGGGCGGGCGGGGGGGGGGGGGTCCTCGTTTCCCAAAAAAAAAAAATGCGAGACGGAGATACAAGAGACAGCCAGGGGTGAGGGGAGGACAGGCCGCCGCCATTAGCCGCTGCTGTACGGGTCCACTGCTCGAGAAGGTGACCTGCGTACGGTAATGACATCTTTTATTTCATCCACCGTCACTATTATTGCAGTACGGGGACCGGCGTGCGTGCACGTTCTAATTATCGATCACCAGAAGGTCGTTGGCTTATCCCGAGCTCCCAACACCAAGTGCTGCTGTTAAAATGAGCAGGAGACACGTCGACCGCTATCACTAGGCGCGAGATAAATGATGGAATTTGCACCTTAAACGACCATTAGCCCGGTAGCTAACAGCACCCCGACATGCTAACAAGCTAGCAGCGCTCTATGAAGCTGGGGCGGGGATGGCGGACGTGTATCCTTGTCATTCATTTCGGACAATGGTTGGTATCGCACGTCGTTGGCAGGCGGGACGTGCTGTAACGTAACTGTGGGTCAAGGATGCCTAATCTTCCCAGGCCGATACCGGCACCCCTTCGCACATTCACCGAAAATGTCTGCAGCAAGTCCAGAGGTTCTGGGTGGTGCTGACCTCCTCTTGTCCGTCGGGCAGAGAGAGAGAGAGAGGGAGAGCGCGGCATGCAGGCAGCGCAGATGCAGGGGGGTTGCGGTATTTGAGGGGCTGGGTTTGCATCCGTCCATGCTTTACCAAAGCAAGAACAACGAGGGGGGGGGAGTGGAAGAGCATGCACTGAGTATGCGACAAAAAAGATAGCAGCTACAAGTGGTCGTTGTCGGATTGCTTTCTTTTTTTAAACCATCTTGCTGTGATGCATTCGTTTCTCTTCAATGAGGGCTGTGGTGGTGCCATTATCGGTGCAGTATGTCACAGTGCAGCCAGTTACCCTCCTCTGTGTCACCGGCTCCGGGTGTATCGGAGGGCCTTTACCGTAAAAATCCCACCAGCACGATCAGCAGCCCTGGATGGAGCCGGAGCGACCCCCACTGTGCTGCAGTGCACCACTGTCAGACAGGAGGGTCCGCTCCCACAGCGGACTGACCCATCAGCTCACTGTAGGAATAATGCAATTTCTGGCAGCGGTGGTTCTGTGTCCCTTGCAGTTAATCATACCTGATCATCGTAGCTCCCACCTTCCCTCCAAATAAATTTAACAGTGGCGTTTCCAAAAAGCCTTTGTTTTTAAGTAGCTTTAAGTAGAACTTCATATTCCTATTGATTAATTTATAAATGATTTATTGATATGTCAGACTATATTTAATGTCGGCTAAGCGCGCCGTCAATTTAATTTGCCAATTATATTTTGCAGGCCGCACAAGCATATTGGAGTTGTAGGCAGCACCTAATACAAAATTGGGGTGCTATAGTTAATAATGCTGTACAAATGTGGGGGATGAGCGGCTTCAAATGAGGTTCGGGACGGGTCTGACATTTTTAGATCCAAGTAGTCCCGGTGTAGGTCTTATTTTTCCCGTTTAAGCTGAAACAACGCACGAACGTGTTTGCATCGGAGTCATTGTATGACAGCAGCAACACATGCACAGATTCAGCATCTGTTTCCCGGTGTTGGCAATTGGGAGTTAAGGCCATGAAATGATTACATTTCATTGCTAAGTTTGGCAGTTGGTAAGCGTGGTATACCAGGCATCCACATGTGACTATGGCATCTGGAATTGAAAGGTTTGGTGAGTTGCAGCATCCCTGTGATGGACTGACTGCTCTAACAGATTTTTTTTTTTGTCTGCGTTGCAGGAGCTGGAGGCAATCAAAGCTCGGGTTAGAGAGATGGAGGAAGAGGCGGAGAAGCTGAAGGAGCTCCAGAACGAGGTGGAGAAACAGATGAATCTCAGCCCCCCACCAGGTGCGTTTTGTGTGTGGATGTATGTGGCGGGGGCCTCTTGTTTGTCCCCGGGTGGCCAGCTTTCCTATCCCTCGTTTTCCTATCGTATATGCTAATGATTCATAATAATCTTAAAATATTTAAATTCTCTGGTTTTATGCCATTAAAATTTTGCTAATTTGAATATTGCAATGTAGATAAAACTGTATCCGCCCACAAACCAGTGACCTCATTTCTAGTTTGAGGTCACTGGTTTTACTATTAAAATGTACATTAAATGAGTTTGGGTTGTTATTTTGTTACAGGTATACTGCACAGAATGATCAGATATAGCTGTTTACACAAACTCCTTGACTTAACATGCTAATAATATAAAGTTAGGATAAGCCATCAAACTGGTCCATGTGTTAGTTTTATAATACTCAAGTGTGTGCTATTGGTTGGATCAATTCAGACTTTAATAAAACTACCATCACTTGATAGTGAATTTCTAGAAATAAATTTGTACTTATTTTAGCAACAGAAATACTAGTCCCAGTGAATGCATTTTTGAGCAAAACGTGATGTGTTTTCTGCCTCTACGCTGCAGTCGGTCCAGTCATCATGTCCATCGAGGAAAAGATGGAAGCGGATGGCAGATCTATTTATGTTGGAAACGTGAGTTCTAGTCTTGAATAGAATATTATTATTGTGGATGGATTTTATTTTAATTTCTATTGTTTGATTATACGCTAATTATTCGAAGTATGTGGCAGTCTTATTCTTTCACATTTTTTAAGAGTTCCCCCAACCACCGGGCCGCCGTCTGGTACCGGTCCGTGGGGCGTTTGATACCGGGCCGACCACCGAAGGAGTAAGTGGTCGAGGATGTGCGAGTGCGGTTTCCTCGATATCAAACCTTTTTCTTGTCACCTTTCTTCAGGTGGACTACGGTGCCACGGCAGAAGAGCTTGAAGCACACTTTCATGGCTGTGGTTCAGTAAACAGAGTCACAATCCTATGTGACAAATACACAGGGCATCCCAAAGGGTAAGACACTGTCAGACGTCTTTTTACTGTGTAATCCAATCGGCAAATGCACCAAAGTAATGCTGTCGGCAGAGGAATCCAACAGTGGATGGATTTTTATTAGGCGTCCATAAAACATGAAGTGTGACTAAAGCCGAATGGGTACATGGGATTGCGTCTGGATAAGGCAATATGCTGGGATGGGCGGGACCAGGATCGAACAAGTTCTGTTTAATAAGATCAGCAACGATTAAAAAGCACACACGGCAACACAAAAAAATGGTATGCGTTGCTCTTGCCATAGAACCTTCTGTATAGGACACTCATTTCCAACAGAAATGGCTTATAGAGCTAAAAGAAGTTATTTCCTCAGAGGGATAGATGTCTTTTACCATATTGATTGTCTGGAGTTGATTTGTCTGCTCTTCCCTACACATTGCTGCTTTTTCTTTGCATGTATTAGACATTTGCATTATTATGGTTAAGTAACCGAAAGGGCCTCAAAGTGAGGCTCCGGGTATCCCAGAGATAAAGATGAGATAGAATTGTTCCAACCTCCATAATATGGACACTGGTCGTCTTATTGCGCAATAGACAAACAGATTCTCGTTGAGGTGGTCTTTTGTTTCAGTTTATTTAATTTAATTAAATTTAATAATTTAATATTTCTCTTATTATATTGTATATAATGTGTATCTTTTTATTCTATTTTCTTCCCTGTACATGCTGCTGTGATACCAAAATGTCCCTCTTGAGGGATCAATAAAGTATCTATATCTTATCTATTTGTGGAAGATTTGACTTTGTATTTTTCTTCAGGTTTGCCTATATTGAGTTTGCAGACAAAGAGTCTGTTAGGACAGCCATGGCACTGGATGAGTCTCTTTTCAGAGGAAGGCAGATAAAGGTAAGATCGTTTAAAATATTGTATACCTTTTTGTTCCTACACCTGGGACATGCTCACCAAACTGATCACAGTGAATACCCCAACAAACAGTTGCAGAATAAGCATAATTGGCTAAATTTAGTTGTGTATTGGCCAATACACCAGTGTTGCACCAGTCTGTTCAAAAACAAAAGGTAATCGGCTCCTGATCCCCTAATTGAGTTAGTTAGTGAATTAAGTCATAACTGTTTGGCGGTTGTGATATTGGATCAATGCAACGGACTGGATGATGGTCAGTTTATGTAACGGTCCCCCGCTGTTTGTTTTATTTCTGCTCAGGTGGGCGCTAAGAGAACAAACAGACCCGGTATCAGCACCACAGACCGCGGCTTTCCACGGGCTCGGTTCCGATCACGGGGTGGCGGCGGAGGAGGAGGAGGAGGCGGCGGCGGCGGCGGAAGCTTCTCATCACGTGCACGCTACTACAGTGGCTACACACCACCCAGAGGCAGAGGGCGGGCCTTCAGGTGAGCTGTCACTGAGGCGCATCACTTCTGACCCCACGGGAGAAAGGCGGACTATGAGTTTGTGTTGTAGCAGCTTCTCTGGAACAGCCACTCAGATTGCATGTACGGCAATTTGTGCCTTCGGCGGATAGAACGTCCAATGTAAATATGGACAGTGTAAATATGACGTGCGCTCCCTCCAATTGTTATTAAAAACAATGTCTTTAGATTTGTTCAAACCGCGTAAATAGCAAGTAGGCATTGTACTTGTACATAGAAACAGTGGTACATGCCGTGTAGTCCAGCTGTGGGACTGAGGGACTCATTGCATGCCACATCACATAAAACCATCCATAGTGGCCAACCAACTTTGTGATCATCCTGTTCTTCCCAGGCTGTGCATACATTCTGCATTAGTTACACCCATCTACTGGGGTAAAGCTTCTGACACTGCTCTTTTTTTTCAATTTCTTTTTTGGAATGTCTATTTACGATTGGGTCTGCGTTTCTTGGCAGTGAAAAGTGCAAACCATTTTGCATTTGCACTGTGGCATTTTGTCAGTTTCCTTTTAATGCTCCATTACAGCAATTCTATGATCCATATTGAACCACAGAGGAAGCTTGGTGTTGATTAGTGTTGTGCACTTGGGTTCAGGTGGCTTTCTACACCCACGATATGTGTGTTTAATTCTGAGCTTGCAAAGTTTACTTGTAGTTGTCAGTTGACTATTAACTAGAGCTGCCCTGTTTCCATGAAGATGATACTCAAAGCAATCCGGTTGTGTTGCCTTGTGTAGACATGTTTTTGTTTACTTACTTATTGATTTACGAGAGTGAGGTGTGGTTCCAAACCCGCTGATCAGCGTTCCACCTCCTCCACACACACTGAGAGAGTGAGATACTCTGATTGATCATCCCTGAACGAAGCATCTGGATCCTTCAGGCCTCGGCTGTAGCTTAATACTTAATGTGCAACATGTAACATTTCTCCCTGTAGAAAGACGCCGCAGCATAGCAGTTATTTTGGAAAGATCTGTGAAACCGTCATACAGAGGCTTTTATTTTAGCCATGTAACAGTTTGCCAAATTCTTGTAACGGGCTCCCATTTATTCCAACTTTATCTTTTGAATTTCTACTTTCATTTTCACCCTTGCTCTTAGTCAAGTAGTTGTGCAAGGAGTTCAGCAAGTCTACCCTCAGATCTCCAAGAAAGGGTTGCATATCTATTCATTTCATTGTGTGAGAAAGTGTCTGAACCTCAAGGTCAGAATCTCTCATATCTCGCGGTGCACTCGGCCCATCCACTCCCACACATACCGAGGAACCCTTACCCTGCCAGTTTGCACACTGGGATCGGCCCGAACTGCAGGACAAGGCGCACAAAGACGGGGGAAAAGCTTAGGGGTTGGTGCTATTACGTCAAGGCTCCAGAAGCTGAAGGGACTGATAGTGAGGTAGAATTTGGTATCTTAAAACTCGGTGCTTAATTAGCATTTCACGTGAAGGCTTTAAGTGGTCTGTTTGTGAGCAGAGCTCCGGCTTGCTGTGACTGTTGACCTTTTGAGTTCTGCCCGACTGACTTGGAGTCAGGTGACATTAAAGCGCATGAAATGAAATGCATCCGGATCAGGAATGCATCATCCTAATGTTGCAATCTCGTAGGCCTGTTTTAACCTCAGACCTTTTTTAAGTCACTTAATTGTAGGCCCAGAGCTTGTAAAAGTGTGATGCTGATAGCGGTGGATTTAGGAACTCATCCCTGCGTTGCTTTACCGCATGCAGAGAGTCGAGTCCACTTGAAGGTTGCATTAGGGATTCATCCCATGTCTGCTTAACCCTCCTGTTACCTTCAATGCAGGCCATTTGACCCCCACACCCAGAAAATGATCATAATTAATCTTTTTCCCATGTTTATATATTTGGAACTTTGCTAGTTTGTTGACTCCCTAAATAGCACATTAAATTATCAGTCGGAACCTGGAACCATTTTGATGACGTTAGAATCACTAAGTCTGCCCTGTTGTTCAAGTGGCGAGACGGACCATAATAACTTTACATTTTTGGAAGGTAGTGTTTTCAGTTCATAAGAAAGCCTCCAAAGCACCAAGATAAATGCTTTAGAAGGCTGCTATGCGAGCTTTCATAGCACGGTCAGTCTCCCAGTAGCCCCTCGTGCACCCACACACCAAACCCAAATTGATTCAAATGTGATACTTTGTAGATTATTTGATAGTATACTGCAGGTGCAGATTTTGTGCCTGAACTGTGGACGACCTTATTAGTTTTATAAAAGTAAAACGGCGTGGGGTCAAATTAACCCCAAAGAACACCGATGCGTACAACATGTGTACAGGACATTGAAAACACATTTTTAATTATCTATTTAGATGTTAAACATTGGATGGGGTCAAATTTACCCCAAAAGTAAGAGGAGGGTTAAGTCAGTCTTGCGGTTGAACAAAACTGGGCTGCGATCCAACACTTGGTGACCCGTTTCACTTGTGCCTTGTTTTGCCTTTGGACCTCATCCTCGGTGAAGAGGAGAAACCTTTGCATTGAGCCATTGTGTGCTTGGGAAGATTTGCCTGTGCAGGGCTGTGATCGTTCAGTCCCACAGATACGTTTCATTAAAGTATCGAGATGTTGCTCAACCCGATTTGATAAGAAGTTGGGCTTCGCCAAGGCCAACGCTTTTTGTTTCTTTTTGGGGGGTTTTGTGCAAGCTAAAATCCTTACACCCTGGCTGAGGACAAAGAGTCGTTAATGTTAACACGCTCTTAAAAAAATAATTGATGCCTGGCTGCAGAAAGTGTTTTTCACGTGTACTGCGTCCATTAACATCATTTTGTCATTTTCCCAAGTTGGTACAGTGAGACTATTTTGATGTGAGCTAGAAGACTTGCATACTGTACTCATGATGTGCAATTACATTTCTGGTGCTTATGTAGTTTGTCTTTGCATGTACATTAACCCCAACACACAAACACACACACCAACCCAGAATCACCTTTACAGCATTCACTCCCAGAAACAAGGGTTCATTACTGCAGCCTGACTTCAGCATCTAGCCGGACAGCCACTGGCTTCAGCCCCAGTGTGACATTTTTTTGTGTTTGCCACTGAATGATTTGTGTGTGTGCGCCTTGTGTGAGAAACCAGATGTGTGAAAGGTTTGCTGCTGCCTGGCTTCTGTGTATTTCTCAGACAGTGTTATGAGTGTCTAATGATGGCACATATTGTCCCGTCCCAGTGTGCGTGTGCGTGTCTTGTGTGTCTTGCTGGGGGTATATGTGTGGTGCTGTTTGTCCTCAAGGTCTTTCCCCGCAGTAACCCAGAGGCGGCTCTCGCAGAGGGAGACACACACACACACAGAGAGAGAAAGAGGGAGAGCGTGCCTTTGCTGTCCCCCTCACACCCAGACACAAATCCTTATTCCACCATCTGGAACTTAAACGCTTTCCTTCTCTTGACAAGCTGCTTTCAGCTTCTTTCAGCACTATTCTTCCAGATTGATTTGTGGGATAAATCACCTTGTGAGAGCCAATGCCGCTAAGACGGCATGACGATTTGGTGATTGGGAACATTGTGTCATTCGTTTTGATATCAAAAATATTTTTCCCCCTTCAGTTTGCAGACCCTTTCTCTGGCCACAATCTCACACGTATATCTTTTTATATATATATATATATATATATATATATATATATACTCGCACCAGAAAATTGGTGTCAGTCTCTTAAGTCAACCGGGAAAAAAACAACTCACCCTCTTTTTCTCTCTTTTCCAGGGGCCGAGGGCGAACAACATCGTGGTATTCCCCTTACTAAACACCCCCTCCCTGTCCAACATCCCCTTACTATCAACCCTCTCCCCTTTTTTCCATTTAGAAAAAAAAAAAAAACATGCACACACACATGCACGCACATAATGAAAAAGTCACCTCCCCCCCCAACAATAAAAGAAGAGAATCCCAGAAGAGAGGAAAAAAAAGACAAAAAAAACACAAAAAAAAACAACCTCTCCTGGACAGAGAGACTGACTGGCCGCAGTGTGCGATTGTGTGTGAGCGTGCGTGTGCGGAGGTTGATGCGGTCACCCTGGTAAGGTATCGGTGGGCCATTAGGAAAAGAATAAAGTGGCTGATTTTATTTTTGTTATGAGGGATGGGAGGGGGGCTGTAGGAGAGGTTGGTGGTATCTCAGGCTGCAGATGTGTCTCCTTTGGTCTGGCTGTGACTTCCTGCTTTTCACACCATCCCAACACAGCCCACCCACTCACCCTCCACCACCACCAAAAGAGAGAAACTTAAAGTGGGTGGGGGGGGGGAGGGAAACGGCAACAAACGAATACATTGTTTTTTGTTTTTAATGTACAGTACATATGTGAACTTTTCACTAGCCCGAGTATTTGTTGTGTTTTTAAGTTTTGTGGTTTGGAGTATATCACCTCCCTACCCCCCCCTCCCCTCTCCCCCTTTGTGTTCGCCGTTCTCCGCCCTCTCCCCCCTCCTCGCTGCATTTTATAACTCATGCTTTTTCTCCCCCCACCCCTCCATGGCCCATCACTCCATGGATTGTTGTTGGACAGTGATGGACCTTCAGTGTTCAGTGGGATTGTACGTGCATAGATTTTTGTTAGTTTTTTTTCTCCTTGTGGGGGGCGGGGGTCCTCCTGCTGCCACCTTCCTGCTGCTCGTTCATACCCGTCACCTCCAACTCAGGCATGCCCACAGCTCCTTTTATTATTTTGGAAGACATCAATGTTTTTATTTTTTGTGCAACCCCCCCACCCCCACCTGTTTTCCCGTCCCCTCCCCTCTGTGTCCCCTGTCTCCTGTCTCTCCTCCTTCCCCTCCCCGTCCTCTCTCTGTATATTAGACCCACTTCTTGTCGTTTCAGGTTTCAAGACCAGTGGAGGCTGACGACCCCTCCCCAGGTGGCACAGGCCCCCCCAACTGTCTCCGCAGCGTCTCTCTCTCTCTCTGCTCCCGCTATGCACACTCACCCCATCCTGTCCGTGTGGGGGGGTGGGGGAGGGGGGCAGGGCGACCACAGGCCCGCTGCGGGGGGCATTTACTACAACAGCAAACGCTGATGATGCTTTTAGTCCCTTTCGCATTGCATCTCTCTCTCTCTCTCTCACACACACACACACACACACCGCTCTGTTCAACGCGCAGCGCAGCACACACAGAACTTAACAGGCAGCCAATCCAACACATGATTTCTACACGGAGAGCTGAAGGCAACATAGCTGAGTGGCAGGAAGGCAAGTTTGCGTGAGTGAGGAAGGCAGGACCAGAGGCGAGGGTGTTTTTTGGGGTGTACAGTGCGGACCTTAATGCGCCCCCTTCCTCTGACTGCGCAGTGCATTCACGGCTTGTCTGAGGAGCGAACAGCATTGATTAATAATTTAATAAATGGAACGGGCTGGAGCGGTTATTTTAGGGAAAGTAGGGTGGAGTTTGTGTGGAGACCTTTTTCTTTTTTTGAAAAGGGGAGTGGGTTTGAACAAATGTTCTGCTTTTTTATTTTTATTTTTAACCCATGAGTCTGTATTGGGGGGGAAAAAATAAAATAAAGACATTGTGTAAAAATGTGAGTGTGTCTGTGTCAGTTTGTTTAAGTAGTTCAACAGTATCCACACGTAGACTTTCTCTAAGCAGACGTATTAAGCGCTTTGGGTTTGTTTCAGAAGGAATTATTCAAATCACCAAATTGGTCATTAATGATATCGCGGCTCATTCCTTCAACATGTAATGCAGAGTCCCCAGACAGGTAAACTGTTGTGACTTTACTGCACAATCTGGAATCTAAAAGACTTCTGTAATCTGACTAAAGTCACAAGCAACACAAATAAAACCTTTCATCACTTGGGTGACCGGCCTGCTGGCACTCAGTGGTTGTGTAGCCCAATGATCTTTAAAAACATGTAAATGCGTGTCATCTGTTGATCCCCCTGACCCAGAAATCACATCCAGGACATTTGCACAGTGGTTTCCCATAAAACGTACAGGACATACTGTTCAGTTTATATTTTATTTTATGTGTAACGTGGCAATAAATGACTTGTGATGCTCTCTGGCAGAGGGTTATGGTGAGTGTTTGAGGAAATGTGACTGCCATCTAATGGAGACCAATAAAGTTAAAAAATTCCAGCAGGAACGGTTTATTCCACACAAAAAAAAAAAATCACAGTGAAGTGGGAAATTAATGACAACTGACTAAAATGTAATGAAGTCCTCTGAAGCATAAAGCGACGGATGTTGGCAAACAAATCTTCATGTCATCTGGTCTTCACTCTGTGCGCTTCAGGTTTATCTGTGCTTCTTGAAAGCTGCAGAGAAGGATATGAGTTATTAACATGCAAATAAAAGCCTGTGCTGCATTTCCCAGGATTGATTTTATGTCTTAACATGGTTCTAATGTTAGTAAGTAAACCCTGACTAGATGCAAAGGTTCTCTGGACATCGCGTAGGAGTTCTATTTGAAAGTCCTTACCTCTTCTTTTGGTCTTTTTCTTCATGACTTTCTTCTTCTTCTTCTTGGGACGAGAGTCATCGCCATCCTGCACCATTAAAGACCAAAGCGTAAGAACCAGCAGTCACGTTAAGATTGTGATCTAAATGAAAACGGGCCACAATGCTCCCATTCACGCTGCACGGAGGGCCGACGTCGCTTTGGCTCCACGTGTTGTCCGGCACAAAAACTAAGAATAGCACGAGGATTTTCCTAATACATTTAGCTGAATGACTTTTCCACATCTGCAGCATGTCGTCGCGGTTCCTCCAGCTCGTTAGTGCTTTTTATGACAGCAGAAAGTGAACGGCACAACGGCACCAGACCACGTGCGCCTAAAACCGTCAACACAGCAGTTTATACAGAGTTTCCAACCGCAAATGCTTTATTACACTAAGCTGCGGCCTCTCCTGGACCTCAGCAAGATTAATATGACCCCGTCCCCGACAGGTGCGTGGAAAGGTCAGCTCACCTGCACGGGCTCGCCGCCGGTCAGCGCTGTGATGTCACCGAAGTGCGTGATGCCGCTCAGCTGGCCGCTCATGGACATGGAGCCTCTCTTCCTGGGGTCCTTCTGGCGTTGGGACACGTTGAGACGCACCAACATCGACTCCTCGTAGTTTTTCCTGTGAAGGACAACAAGGCGTTTTTGTCGACGGAGACTCGTAGCGTTGGGAAACCGATCCCCACGTAGCGCGTCACATAATTCCTCCTGCCGCCATCAGGACGTGACCCGCATCAAGCCACCGGCTCGGGTCACACAGCTGCGCCTCTTGCGTCGACGTGATCGGACCCATTTGAGTGTGAGTGCGCGCGCGCGCGCACTCACACACACACACACACACACACACACACACACACACACACACACACACACACACACACACACACACACACACACACACACACACACACACACACACCTGTGAAGATCCTCGCGGCTGTCCCGATCGCTCTGGAAGTCTCGGCGCTCCCGGATCTCCTCGGGAGCGTCGCTGTACTGCTGCCTCAGCTCCTGGATCACAGAGCTCCTGAGGGCCGCACGCCGCTGCCGCTCCGACTGAGCCTTCTTCCTGTCTGCTTCGGTCATGTCTCCATCTGTGGAGGGGGGTGGGTGGTGCACGGGTTTGAGATGAGACTTTTTTCCGGTCTTTGTTTTCATGTTTTACGGGTAAAATAGCTATTGGCTAACTGAAACCAAAAGAAGCCCAGCGGCTTCTTCTAAACCGGTGACATTAACTCCCACACAAAAGTAAAATAGTTGATCAAATTGGTAACGATAGGAGTCTTCACGGCAATGACACGAAAAAGAAATGTTTGAAAAGACGTAGAGCGTTACCATAATGCACTGGGGCAATCTTTGGCGGTACATATTTCCTGCCACTAGAGGGAGCTGCTTTGTTCTCCGTCGTACTGCCAGCTTCACCTTCAGACTCCTCGGATTCGCTCAACTGGTTGATGAAGCATCGAAAGAAAGTCAGTCCGCCGAGTACATTAGTGTAAGTTTTGTATTTGAAATAAACCATGACCATTTTAACCGTGACTTGATTAAAGGTCTTGAAGGCTACTTTGAGATGAACCTGTACCAGCCAAATGTTCGCCTCTTACTTTGCTGATGAGATTCTCAGGATTAGGACGCAGCTGCAGCGGGTCGTTCTCGGCTGAAATCCACAAAAACATCGTTAAACTCATGGATCTTACTCGGGAGGGGGTGGGGGGACCCTTTATTTTGTCTCAACGAATTAAAAAGAATCAGGCTCACCTATACTGCCGGTGACAGCAGTGCGCACCAGTTTATCGATCTGGTACTTAAGTTTGTGGTCCAGCGGTCGCATCTTCTCCAGGACCTTAAAACCGGAGGAGAAGAGCAACAAGGTGCTGCGTTAGCTGGACGCGTGGGAGCAAAACAAGGCGGCGGCGGCCCGGTTCTGCGATCGCCTCACCGTTCTGATGGTGACCAGTCGGTTCAAGGCGTCGCTGTCTTTTATTTTGCCTCCTTGCGTCTTGATGCTGATCAGGTGAGTGAGGTCTTGCAGGTAGAAGAGCAGCAGATGATACCGAAGGTTCAAGAAAGACAAACCCTGCAGGGAGAGGAGACCTTTTAAGTGTTGTTCCCGTCCTAACAAACAGGTTTTCTTTCACATTGGACATTCCTATTGAGTTTTTAGTTACACAGGCCTGAATATTTACGTAAAGATTCTTCATAGAAAGATGATGAAAAGCACGCAGGGGACCGGAGGCCCAGCGGTTATTCCAGCCCATTTATTAACGGTCTCCGCTCACCTGGGACGTCTTAAAAGCTCCATCTTTCACTTTTGTCATCAGCTCACGGACATGACCTGTAACCGAGACCACCTGAAGAGAAAAACACCGTGTTTTATCTGTGAAAACCTTGATATTCTAACATCAAAATAAGCTTTCTGTGGAAAAAGCCACTGTTCAAATGATCATAGGGAGACGCAACAGGTAAAAGCAACAAAACACTAAACAGGATCATTATGATCAGATTATTACGCATCAATATGTCACAATGAGATGTGCTGATGTGTTCTTTGGATCATTTACCATCAACAGGACCACGTCTCTATTAATAAACATTATCACAGTACTACAGAATGTTCTCACCTGTTCGGTGAGATTCCTCAACAGCTGTGCGGCTGCAGGCAAATCGCTTACAATTAAATCCTGTCAGAATGTAAATAAGTTAGAAATACAATGAAAAACGGCCCACAGCATTTACGTTAAGTTCCATAAAGAGTAACTTGAAACGTGGTTGAAAAAAAGACACCAAAGGCGAATCTAGCTGGTGGCGAGCGGAAGTCCCTGAAAACATTACGCGCTACTCAGAGTGTCACAATATGCTACGTCCTCCTAAATGCCTATAGAATTATCACAAACTGTGGAAAGATGATATAAATCAAACAAACGAGCTCGAGGAATCTCCACTCACGTTGTCAACAGGGGCAGCCATTTTGTTTTAGTGCGGGCTACGGAGGCCGCAGAGGGACAACACTCACAGAGCACTTCGCCTTCCACACGATGCACAGACACGTTAGTGGCACAAATTAGGGGTGAGTGGCAAGTAAAGCGACTTTTCACAGAAACCTATAGATTCTTCCATCACATAGTTTATTATTTAACGTGACCTGAAACTAAAAGTTAAAAATGTTTTTTTAAAAACAACAACTAAAAACTAAATATTATCAGGCGTGTGGAGATAACATCTATAGACACGATCGGAGTCAAGACACACTGCCCTGCTTCCTGCCCGTTGGCTCTCTTTCCCGTAATGATGGAGTGTGTGTGTGTGTGTGTGTGTGTGTGTGTGTGTGTGTGTGTGTGTGTGTGTGTGTGTGTGTGTGTGTGTGTGTGAGAGAGAGAGAGAGAGAGGAGAGGAAGTGATGTGAGATCAGACAGGTATCAAACTCCTGCTGCCTCCTCCTTGCAGACCATTTTCAGTTCAACTGTAAGAGGAACCTGAAGCTCAGTCAGAGTGTTTGAAGAGTCATGGTAAGTCCCATCACCACTTTCCTAGTGTGTGTAGTTCATTTGTGTATGTTCCCCTTAATGTTGGGCTTCATCAAACTATTATTTTAGTTTCTTTTCTTTTCTTAATACATTGATTAACCGTTTGGACCGTAAACTGTCAGCAGGTTGTGAAATACGCACATCGCAACCCAGGTGCAGTCGCCAGAGCTCGTTTGGTCTGTTTGCTGCTAAAGAGGAATAAAAACAGCAAATATTCACATTTGTGAAGCTGGAAGCAACGTTTTTTTCATTTTTTTTTACCTCTAAGAAATCAAATAATGAAATAATTATTAGTATTTTCTAATAAAAAATCTCATTGATCAACTTATTGGCAATAACCGATTAATTGACTGATTATTTCATCTCTAATCAGAAACTTTTCAACACGGTATTCTGTAATTGTACATTGTTATTTCCCCTTAATAACGTATTATTTTCATTAACCATATACTCCATTTGTCCTCTCCGTGTTGTTTCAGTGATGCACTTCGAGTGTTCAAAGTAAAAGTGAAACTCCACAATATTTTTAACACTTTAAGGAGTTTTCAGGAGTTGAATTGTTACCATATTTGATTATCATTACTCGGACGATATCAGGCTCCGCCTTTTGTTGTGTTGGTCAAAGTGGAGCTGATCACAATGTGTTTTTGTATTGTTTAATATCTCAGACATATGACTGTGTTCTGAGTCTATTTATCGGCCCTGTATTACTCCAGAGTCATCTCTATTTGTTCGTGTGGTTCTTTGCTTCCACTTAAAACTAAATGAAGTCAACCTTTCAAATTAAAATAGAATAAAAGCTCCTCCTCTTTTTCTGCTCCCGACCCGCTCCAGATGTCTGATTCCAGGGTGTCCTCAGTCATCCACGAGTGGGCCAGCTCTTACTCGGGGCAGGCGCACTCCCTGAACCACGGCACGCCGACCAATCAGCTGGCTCCGATGGACATGATGCCGTACAGCCAGGCGCAGGGACTGGGCAGGGGGGGCGGTGATGACATGATGGGACTGTCTTACCTGCCGTACACGTCCTCCTGTCTCAGCAACAACTCCGGCTCAGGGAGCACAATCCACCACCAGAGCCAAGCCAACACGCAGCAGGTGTGTGTGTATGTGTGTGTGTGTGTGTGTGTGTGAGCAAATCCTGCACATCTTCTCACTCTCATCCTGCTTCCCCACAGCGTTAACAAACTTGTTTTTCTGCTCCCCCCCCTCCAGGACTTCTCCTCTTTCCTCCTGCCAACCCTGCGGGCCCCCGTAAACAAGAGGAGCATCAGCAAGGACAGCGCGGAGTACCGCATGCGGCGCGAGAGGAACAACGTGGCTGTGAGGAAGAGCCGGGACAAGGCCCGCCGGAGGATCATGCTGACCCAGCAGAGGGCCCTGCAGCTGCAGGACGAGAACCAGAAGCTGCAGATGAGGATAGGGCAGCTGACGCAGGAGCTGGTCTCCCTCAAACACATCCTGTCGCAGCGGCACCCGCAGGGGGCCGAGGAGGGAGCGGCGGGGGGCTCCGCTATCTAGAGCCACAGCTGTTACCTGATTGCAGGCGTTAGATCGCTCACCTTAAGCGTCTCACAAACGAGGCCTCCTCGCTGAACTCGCCCACCAAAGAAAACGCCGAAAACATGAGCGACTGGCAGGGTTGTGAGTGCCATTGAGGACAATGAGGTCGCGTCCACCCGGGTTTCTTCTTCTGGGGTTTTGGGGCACATTTACATTCTATCATTGACTTTCATAAAAGCCCTTTAAATTGTCACGATTGGCTTCAACCGTTGAGCCCTGTACGATAGGCTTCATATTCAGGTTAACTTGAGAGTGAAAAAAACTGCTTGGGGTCTTAAATTTCACAATGAGGTGAACAGAAGCCACTTCTCATTTTTTAGCAGAAAGGAAAGGTCATTATTTCGCTGAAATGTCGCTGGTAGAGTCCGTCAGCTGTACTGCTACGTTTGTCTGAAGCGGACGTTGTCAATGTACAGCTTACCCCTAAAATGTATCTTAAAATAAATATCACTACAGGCTACATGTGCACACCTTCTGACCTTCAACATGTGGACAAATCAAAAGCTTCACAGCTTGCTATCAATTCTGCTGCGAGTCAATTCAGTTCGGATTAGGTTTTTAAAGCCGTTGCATGGTGGCAAATAACTATAATAATAAAATAATCAATACGCAGTATCAATTCAATGAATTTAATGTTCATGTTTGGTGTTTGGTCAGAATTCTCTGAGTGAGTCTCTGAGGGAAGTTCCTCACAACTTCAGTCTTTCCGAAACAATGGCAACCGCCCCGCTCGCTAGACCTTAACTAATAATTGAATCAAATTAGGAAGACGTGTGCTGGGTTCAAATGTAGACATCGTTATAAGATCCAAGCTGTGAGTGGAGAGACCGGTGAATGCACAGAAACCTTAAGAAAGATTTGGCCTGAAGACGAGATCTTCACACACATGCATGTTCCTCAGAAGAAGACAATCTGACCGATCTTTATTTTGATTTAACAAACATTGGCCAATCATCAACACTTCTTGTCATTGTCAGATATGATTGTAAGTGTTGTTGCCTAACAAAGTTACTCAACCGCCTGTGGTTTGTAGAGGATTCAATGAAATCTAAGTGTGTCTCTCTCTCTGTGTGTAGTATTTCTTTTGTCAATAAATGAGTGTGGGATTACTTGAAACAATGTTGATTTTAAAATAACATGCAATCTTGTGTTTTATTATTTTACAGCAGTGTATTGTTGAAGCATTACAATGTCACTTATGGTCCTTAAATAAACAAATTATGACTTGAGCTTTGGCGAAACATCTTTTATATCTGCCGATCATAAACACACACATTCATATTACATATAAACATCTACACGGCGCGTTCAAAAGCTGTGATTACAGTCCACTGCTCCTTTAAATAACACAGAAAACGGTGGGATTTAACCCGCCGAGGGCTCTGGTGCCTCATCAGGCGTGCACCTGCCACATTAGTTACCATCGGTCTACCCACGGAAACGGACGTCGTGCCATGGACCGTTGTGCACCAGCGGTTTCCCTTTGTGGGATGGGCGAGATTTCAACACAGCGGAGGACGGAGATGAGGAGCACAGAGATAGTATCAGCGTTTGGGGCTGCCAGGGCCTTCCTGTGGCTGTGATGGTAGTGAAGGGACATAGAGATAGGAGAGCCGGGGGGAGAAGGGGGGCAACAAGCCAGACATTCTGTCTTCAGAAAGCGAAGCAATAGTTGTAACATCTGGTCAAATATTTTCAACACTATCAGATCAAAAATAAACAGTGTGATTCCTTTGCCGCTGGATCCCAAGATGAAATATCACATGAAGAGAAAAGACAGAGGATGTGTGCAGACTGTAAAGAGGGAAATTTGTGATTTGGGGCCATACAAAATATAATGAATTGAATTGAATGATTAGTCCTGGTGTGTTGAAATAAAGAAAGCACGTGTACACCTCTATTATTCATCTGTACGTGTTATTATAAAGACAACAGCCATGTCGGTATTCAAGTTACCGACGCACTAAGGTTTCAAGTCCAATCAGCGTGCTCGCTGCTAACTGCGCTGTCTGATTAATACAACTGCAACTAATCGGGCCAACTGTGCAGAGGCGATCAATATGTGCAACATTACACTCTGCAAACACGATCGATCAAAGGGAAACAATACACTCCATTGCCAGTAGCAAAATAAATGACAGTTGGCCTTAAATCTCAAGAGAACGTGTTGGATAGGAAGGCCGCTCGCTGCGAGGTGTCGGACTGAGATCATCATGCACGCTGGCCGCCAAGAAGAGACGCCCCGCGAGATGACAGATAGCTATAGGAAGGTAAGCACCCGTGTGTTGTGTGTGTTTATGTCGGTACACGCGTGTGCATTTGATGGACCCTGGCTAAGCAGACCGAAAGTGTGACACAGGCGTCTTACTGTCGTGCGTGGAGCGGCGCACAAAAAGTCCCCGTGTGCCCGTGTCTGTTGAAATGTCCCGCAGCGTCGTGTGGGGCAATCTGTGGTCCCAGGACTGCAACATGTCCGCAGAGTGAAGAAAGACTGTATTTTTTACCTAATCCCTTACCGAGTTACTCAATAGCAGCAGCCCGTAGGAACCGCACCGCAGCCGCTGCAGAGCAGCTCCCGTCGCGCTGCTCATTGAAGCGCATCCAAGGAGCTTTTTGCTTCGTCTCAAGGGAAGACAATTGTTGAACGTATCAACATGAAAACGGTGCAAGGTCCCGTCTAAATACGGGAAACGTGCCGCTTTCAGCCCCATTTCAGCACACATGTTCACAACTGGAGGCGGTCCAGTGAAACGTTGTAGTCGGAGGTCTGGTTTTGTAATCTTCAGGTTCCCAGCACACGTTGAGAATCGATATTCTAATTCCGCAGTGATATGGAATCGCTTTGACTTGTTAAACTAATTGAAGAAGTGTCTCTTTCTGCCATAGGAATCATTTTAACACAAATGTTCATAAGCTGTAATGTCGTTATCTTGGTATTTGGAGGGTGGCTTTGTACATGGCAGCCATCGTGTGTGACACAGAAAACACACAACAACACGCATAACGCACAATGCATTTGTGGTTTTATTTTAAACACAACTTAAATGGAAAGTGTTTTCTTCGGATCCTGGATGACAAAAGCAATGTCTCTGTTGTCCAAAAGAGCCAAAGTCCCCCGCTACAGTGAGCCGCTGCAGTGGAACAATTGAAGCTGCTGAGACCAAGGGTCATGCCCTCAGCCACAATACGGGGTGTTATCAATGTACCTTCCGGGTGCATTCGTCTCTCGGTAGTGGAAACCTTTTCTATGATCTAATCTGGTGCCCTGGAAGAGGAAACGTAGATTGCAACGGATGACTTTGGGAAGCTAAAGGCGATACAAAGCAAGAGGTAGAACGTTTTCTAGGGTGGCTGAAGATTAAGGGAGGGAAACATTTTTTTTCCCAAACAGACAATTTGTGACACTTTCTACGATAATGGCGTTTGTGTCGTTGCATATTCACGAGAAAGGCCGAGCCGCCACGCATCGGCGTTCCCTTGAAGTGACCTCTGATTTATGGCTCCACCATGCGGCAGAAAAGCACGCGCAGGTCTTCAGCGGAGATGTTCAACAGAGAACCGATGTCTCACTCTAATCGTTAATCGTTGTGTATGTTATTGGATCCCTGCTGAGAGGCCTGTCCGTGTCAATCACGGTTTCACTTGAGGTTAAAAAACACAAGAATCACTCTGCGTTGGCTCATTTAAGGCCCACGTTATTATATGTTCTGATTCATTCAATCAACGTTTAAACTCGCAGGTGAACCCTCAACACGGCGTGGAAGGTGGGAAGATTACCCGTCACTAACGCAGGAGTAGTGCTTATCCATTGAGCTTGAGCAAGAACCTGAAAGCGTTATTAAATGCCACCTGAACCCTTTTGATTTTGCTATAAAAGCACCACAAGTGGGCTGCATGGAAGATAGTTCAGGGGGCTTTAAAGAGCTGTTATATTTAATTGTTTAAAGCCTCAGAAAAATGCATTTTCCTTGAAAATGTGTACTTTTGTTTTAAAGTCATATATAAGCCACCCTAACCAAGTATGTTGCATAAACCCTTTTCTTTTGAAACATCTTCCTTTTCAACAAGATTGAGATCTGGAAGTCAATAAATGTTTCTAAAAAAAGTGTTACCCTAACTCTAACTCAAAAATCTAAAAACCTAAAACACATGTGGAGAACCAACAAAGAACGATTATGGATCGGAAGGCAATTAGGAGCTTTGTTCAAATCAAGTTGTAGCAGGACGCAAACGATCTGTCTTGTGAACTTTAAGTCCATTTAATTTCCGCGTATCACGTTTGTTCTGCAGCAGCGCAGAGGAGTCATCAGTCAATCGGTTACAACACAAAGCCGATTTATCACCGAGTGACGCATCCTCCTCTCAGCGCACACGACCTCTTTGATTTCAGAGACACGAGGGGACGTCGTTTCGACGATTCCACCCGACTCGTGACGAAGTGAGCCGACGCCGCTGCTCGTCCCCGCGAACGGCGTCTCCCGTCGCAGTCCCCGCACCGGCTCTTTGTCCCCGCACCGGCCGACGGACGACGCGCCGTTTCCCCCCTTTTTAAGACGATGTCGGAGGCGGTCGAGCCTCGCTCGTTTATTCGGCGCGCGGTCGGCGGGCAGAAACCGGGACCGAATCGCTGACGAGTCCCGGCATCCTCCGGTCTGCGAGCGGCGCGAGCCCGGTGTCCTCGCCTCACTTCTCCGGGACGCTGATGTCTTCTCGTCCGACGGACCGGCCAGAGGAGACACGTTGAATTTTGGATGTTTGCAAAGGACATTTGACAACATAAAGAACCCCGGTAGGTCACAACATGCGCCCGCGAAGCCAGACAGACGCTATTACCGGGGGGGGGGGGCAGCGGGACCGGGGGGGGGGCAGGGGCGTCTCCCCCCCCCGGCAGCTCTTTGAACGCAGGCCTCATGTTGATGGACAGGCGCATGTCTTGTCTCGCGGAGCCGGCTGCATTGGTGGCCACGCAAGTAAACAGGCCGGCATCCCCTGGCTGTTGGGAGGAAAGAAATCCAAAGTGATCGGTATGCCCCCGGAAGTAGAAAGTAAAGGGAAGTTTGTGAAGCTTCATTGAAGGCTAACCTCAGCCCTCTCGACGATCAGCTCTCCGGATCGCAGGACGGTGAATTTGCCCGGAAGGTTGGGCACGGTGGCACCGTTCTTCTCCCAGGTGACTCGGGGCACCGGTGAACCCTGAGCGGCGCAAGGCAGCAGCGCCTGGAATCCTTGAACGACGGACAGGTGCGTCTGCGCGGGAGGAATCATGGGCGGGACTGAAATGCAAACGAAAGTACATTAGCCTACATTAGCCTGCCATGCTCCTTATATGACATGAAAATGGCCTTACCTTGAACAACCAGCCTCACGTCATGGCTGGCTCTGCCGGCGA